TTTATTAGATTCATTGTTTCAACAAAAGATTCACCACTATTATTTAGAGTTTACCCCCCCCCCCCCCCAAATCAGACATGCTGAAAAAGCATTGTGAAGTGATTTGCTTTCTACAGCTGGGTTCAAGAATTAAATGTTGGTTTTGGATTTCTGCTATTTTACCTATTGACCCTGGAAGTATTTCTACTGAAAGTCAGATAGTTAAGAAATTGGTTTCTGTGTTCTGGAGTCGTGGCCGTGCTGGAGAGCCGCTCGTGGGGGGCAACTGGTGGCCTCGGTAGGGCGTGAAGGGCGGACCGAAACGCCCCCTTCCCATGAGGTTTTAGTCGCTCCCACACTCCCGGCTCATACCTGCTGTCCACAAGGCTCCCATGTGGCCGCCATCTTTCTTTCCAGAGGGAGGAGGGCGGAAGGGACAACACCCTTTCCCCTCCGGACAGACCTGATGGCCTGGATTAACGCATAGTCCGTTCACTTTTCTGCTCCAAGCTGCCGGGTTCTGCATTAAGTCCTTGTCTGCACCTTCTTGAGCACAAACCCGCGGGCACCGGCAGGCCAGTGACAGGCACCAACCCTCCCAGTGGTTCTGCTTCAGCCTCAACCGCTGGGGAATCCTGGCCCCAGCCTACGCCTGTCTGACACGCACAGGTGGAGTCACTCCAGCTCTCTCCTTGTTCCACACGCACCTCCCGGAAACTCCCCTCACAGCTACAAGGCCCCGAGGGCCAGGGAGAGGGTGCAGTGGGCAGTGCACCTGCTGACTCGAGTTCAGTCCACGGCCTCCAAATGGTCCTGACATCCCCAGGTCTGGCCCCAAACCAACCAAAAACCCCCAAACACTCTCTTGGTGCTCTACCCACCCCGCCAGTGTTCCTAAACCCTCTGTTTGCTTTACCTTGGCTCGGGGGTCACGCCTGCTAGCTCTGCACTGGGGGCGACTCCGGGAGGGGTCCTGGGGATGGAGCCCACTGCTGGCAGGCACCCTCTGGCCCCGTCGCTGTTGCATTTCCTTGGGGACACACAGAATCACTGACCCTTTCTAGCCACATCCAGGAAGGCATGGCTGCTGGTAGTGGGCACCCCGCCCCGACCCGCCCTGCGGGACACGCATCCTGGCAGGGGGAAGGCAGGCCATGCAGCCCACAGCCCTGCCCCAGTGTCAGAGGAGCAGGGGCCGCATCCCATCCCCACACTGCCCTGTGCAGACACAGAACAGGACAGGAAGCAGAGAGAGCCGCGGGCAGCTGGCTAGCCTGGGCTAGGAGCTGACCCAGTCGGAGAGTCAGGCACGGGGAAGGACAGACTGGCAGGCCTGGCTCCTCTTCCCCGGCTCTCGCCCGAGCTCTGAGACCCCCTCCAGGCTCACTGCAGGCTCAGGCACCAGGGACTGAGGGCCAGGTGGGCAGGTGGCGGCAGGTGAATGACTCTATGCCAATCCAACCAAGGAAACAGGGGCATATGCTGGGACGGGCACTACCACGCCCTGGGCAGCTGGGCAGGGGTCGAGCCCACTGTCTTCCATCTGCCTGCACAGCCCAGCGCCCCTGGCCCCCGAGAATGCCAGAGGCAGGCCTCTGGAAGAGTGGGGGGTTCCGTCACTCCTGTGCTCTGCTGTCCTGGCTTTACCTGAGAGAGGCTCTTTGTGGGGGCTCGTCCTGAAGAACACGAGGGCAGGGGGTCCTGACATCCCACGGAAGGAGCCCTACCAACCCAGCGTCTGTCAAACGGCCCCTAAACCCAACCCACTGGGCCAGAGAGGGACGCCTGCCTTGCACACGGCTGACCCGGGTTTGATCCCCGGCACCACACAGAGCCCCCTGGACACAGAGCAAGGAGCAACAAAACCAAAAGAAGCATGAACAATTTCAAAAGATTATAACTGACCCCAGGCTGGTCTGATGGACAGCAGGGAAGGCATCTGCTTCGCCTGTGGCCAGCCCAGATTGAATCCCGACACCCCCCAGGCCCCACCAGGACAGATCCCTGAGCACAGAGCCAGTAGTCCGCCCTGAGCACGCGTGTCCCCAAACAGCCCTCCCAGAGGCCTTCTCATTGCAGAACCTGGAAAGTTTGTTTTGACAGTTGAATATTCTGCGGATGTGTGGAGAATACATTAATGAGCCAGTCACTGTGTCAGGCTGGATTCTGCCCAGAGAGGAGACAGGAGCCATCTGAATATGCAGGTGGGCTGCCCTGGGGGTGCTGGAGTTGGCAGGGGTGCAGGCGTGAGGAGGGTGCAGACGGCAGTCTGGCCTCTGGACCCTGGGAGGGCGCTCACCTTTCCAGAGCCCCTCCAGGAGTGAATCATCACCCTGAGGACAGAGTCAGGAGGAGGCCCTGAGCACTGCCGGATGTGGCCCCCAAACCAAAAACAAACAAAAGAAAACAACATCGTAGGGGGATGACAAATGCCCCAGGGAAAGATCAGGCAGTGGTCTCTGACTCAGTAGGAAGCTTGCCACCACTGTGGGGTGGGCTGGGCAGGGAGGGGGCATTACGGTGGAGGGAAGGGTCACTCTGGGGGAGGGGGCTTACAGTGGGACGCACAGAACCCTAGCAGGAATAGGAAAGCACCGAGCCTAAAATTTACTTAAGAAATAACAATTGGGGGGTGGGGGCCGGAGCAATCCTACAGGTGGTGCCTTCCATCAGCCGGGCCGGGGTCAGTCCCTCCCGGCAGCCCAGAGAGTAACGGTGAGCCCCGTCCAGAAGCCCTGAGCACCACAGACTGCGCCCAAGAAAAAACCAAAGATCCATTTAAAAGCATTTTAAAGTGCCCGCCATAGAGCGGGCTAAGGAGTGGGGGCTGGGGGTGCACGGAAGGAAACTGGGAGAGGACACGGGTGCAGGGGAGTGGACGCTGGTGAAGACGCTGGGGTTGGAACATTGTAGGCCTGAAACCCAATCGCGAAGAATTCTAATGCAGCGTCTGAATTTAAAAATATGAGTTCTGATTCAAAATACGGGATCGGAGCCATAGAACAGCAGGGAGGCCTTTTGCCTTCCACACGGCCAACTCAGGTCCAATCCCCGACATCCCATAGGGGCCCCTGAGCCCACCAGGATCTAGCCCTGATGGCAGATCCAGGGGGAAGCCCTAAGCACTGCTGGGTGTGGCCCCCAAAACCTAAATAAAAAAAAACCAGCGCTCTCGCTCTCTCTCCTGCTCCCTCCCTTCCCCACCTCTCTCTTGTCATTCTCTCTGCCAAAAAATGCTGAGGTAGCAGCGATTTTCGTGGGCCCCACGGGTGGCTTACGTGAGGCGTGGAGGAGAGAGACGGTCACTTTTTCCCTGGGACCCAGGGTTACTGGGTTCTTGTCTCTCCTCGCAGAAAAGTGTCTCAGCAGAGGAGCAGTGGAGTCAAACAGATTTTATTTGGAGGGGGCTGGAGCGATAGCACAGCGGTAGGGCGTTTGCCTTGCACACAGCCAACAAGGCCGATCCGAGTTCGATTCCTCCATCCCTCTCGGAGAGCCCGGCAAGCTACCGAGAGTATCTCGCCCGCACGGCAGAGCCTGGCAAGCTCCCCGTGACGTATTCGATATGCCAGACACAGTAACAACAAAGTCTCCAATGGAGACGTTACTGGGCCCGCCCGAGCAAATTGATGAACAACGGGAGGACAATGACAGTGACCGTAAGCAGGGGAAGGAGGGAGAGAGTGGGAGACAGTGACCAGCTCCAGAGAGCCGGGACTTCCCCAGGGTGGGGAGAGCCCTAGAACACACCCCAGCATTAGACATGAAGCAAGAAAGCGCACACCTCCAGAGGGGAGATGCCGATGTGCGCCCTTCCTTTGTCCAAAGCGGCCTTCATAGGGTTTCTCCAACCTGCCCCCAGTGGCCATCGATCCAGGTCAGTCTGCTCCCAGAGGGACTCCCAAGTGGGTAGGGTCGGGAGTGTCTTCTCTGAAGCTCCTGTTCTCATCCTTTGTGCCTGCTGGGTCGTCTCTTAGGGGGTCTGGGCGAGCTCCAGGTAAGGCACTGCTGTACTCACAGGTGTGCCCCTGCCCCCAGGAACCCCACTGTCATGTGCTACCCGCCCCCAAGAGCCACAGGGCAGGAGCGAGCCTGACACCCTCAGTGGGGGCCTCTGAAATTTAACTCCTGAGTGCAAAGTGATAAATTTTAATTGTGTTTGTTTGGGGGGGGTCACACCCTGCAGTGCTCAGGGCTTAATCCTGGCTCTGCACTCAGGGATCAGTCCTGGCAGGGTTTGGGGGACCCCATGGGACAGAGGGATGGAACCCGGGATCACAGGGATCGAACCCGGGGCACGTGAGAGGCAAGCTCCCGACCTGCGGTATCATCCGCTCAGGTCCCACCAAAACGCTTGCAGGGACCAGAGTCCGGAGGGACGGGGAAGCAGGGCCCGCGCCGCGATAGGTCTCAGCGGCCGCCAGTCCCGCCCCCGCCACGCTCCGATAGGTCTCAGTGGCGTCCGGCCCCGCCCCCGCCAACCGCCGCTCCGCCCCCGCTGCGGCCTGATAGGTCCCAGTGGTCCCTCGCACCTCCCTCCGGCAGCCCGCCCACTCCCCCGCGGCCGCGCCCCGATAGGTTCCAACGGCCGCCTATCCCGCCCCCGCCGCCCGCCGCTCCGCCCCCGCCGCGCTCTGATAGGTCCCGGCGGATGCCGACCGCACCGCCCTGCAGCCCGCCTACTCCCCCGCGGCCGCACTCCGATAGGGCTCAGCATCTGCAGGCCCCGCCCCAGCCGCGCTCCGATAGGTCCCAGAGGCCATAGCGCCCGCCCCCTCCGCAGGGCACGCCCCAGCGTGGCGTCCCTCTCGGCCAATCCGCGCGCAGAGGCCTGCGGGGCCCGCCCCGGAAGCGGCCCGGTGGCTGGCCTTTCCCCGGCCCACAAGCCCCTGCGCCTTCCTTTCTCCCCGGTCGGACCGTGAGTGCGGGCGGCCGCGGCCTTTGTCCATCCGCGTCCATCCTCGGCGGGGCGCGCGCGGGGGCGGCCGGCGGGGGCGCGGGCGGGCGGGCCGGGGTCTCGCGGGGTCTCACCGCCGTGTCCCGCGCAGATGGCGCCCGCCAAGAAGGGCGGCGAGAAGAAGAAGGGCCGCTCGGCCATCAACGAGGTGGTCACGCGCGAGTACACCATCAACATCCACAAGCGCATCCACGGCGTGTGAGTGCGGGCCCGGGGGGCCGGGTGCTAGGGTGCTGGGCCGGGGAACGGGGTGCTGGGGGCCGGGGAACGGGGTGCTGGGGGCCGGGGAGCGGGTGCTGGGCCGGGGAGCCGGGTGCTGGGACGGGGGACGGGGTGCTGGGCCTTGGTGCTAGGGTGCTGGGCCGGGGAACGGGGTGCTGGGGGCCGGGGAGCGGGTGCTGGGCCGGGGAGCTGGGTGCTGGGGTGCTGGGACGGGGTGCTGGGGTGCTGGGCCTTGGTGCTAGGGTGCTGGGCCGGGGAGCTGGGTGCTGAGGTGCTGGGATAGGTGTTGGGTGCGGGACAGGGGGCCAGGTCAGGCGGGGGTCACTCTCACGCTGGTCTCCGAGTCCGGCGTGGACAGAGACCCCGAAGACCCCAGCGGGCCTCCACACCCACAGGTGCGACCCGGTTCTGGTACCTTGGGTCGCTTTCCAGGCGGGGTCCGGCCGGCCCAGCCGTCTGTGCCCCCCAGGGGACAGGCTGCGTTTGGGGGCCCCAGGCAGCGCCCACTGTACTGTGCAACCTGGTGGCACGAAGGACCCCCGTCTCCCAGGGTCCCAGGGTGCAGACACGTGGGTGTGGGTGGGCTGCCCTGGGCCCCGGCCTCGGTTCTCCTGCTCGTGGGCTGGGAGCTTGGAGGTCTGCGGCGTTTGGGACCCTGGGGCGCCGCCAGAGACCCTGCAAGGGGATTCCCCGTGGAAGGCAGCGGGTCCCTCTGACCCGGGAGTGTCCACGCGGGCTGGCTGGTGTGTTAGCGACCTGTAGGGCGCCCTTTGGGCGTGGGGTGGCAGGGTGGGGAGTGGATCGGTGTCGTCTTGGTCCCGGTTCCTGGTGGAGCCCGACTGCAGGTCTGCGAGAGCAAGTCTCCGCTGACACTCTGTCCGTCCCCCCCTGTCCCCTCGCAGGGGCTTCAAGAAACGCGCCCCCCGGGCACTCAAGGAGATCCGCAAGTTCGCCATGAAGGAGATGGGCACCCCGGACGTGCGCATCGACACCCGGCTCAACAAGGCGGTCTGGGCCAAGGGCATCAGGTGCGGGCCCTGCGGGCGGGCGCTGGCGAGCTGGGGCTGCCAGCCACTGGCTGGTGTGTGTTTGGCTGGTGGGGCAGCATGGGCACACGATGGCACCTGCAGCGTGGGACCTCTGTGGTCCTGGCAGAAAATGCGGGTTTCTGTTTGACCCTCATGAGAGACCATTGAGGCTGTTTTCTGCAAAAGGCAGTTGTATGGAGCCAACTGGGGGGTTGCTGACCACCTGAGGGGGAGGGGGCCTGGCTAGGGCGACACCCGGTGCCTGCCTCGGGCCAAGCGTGGACGGCTCCCAGAGACCTTGGGAGTGGTGCGTGGAAATAGCGTGTCCTGCCACCAGTGTTGCTGCATAGTCTGGTCCTGCTACCAAGTTGATATTCGACAGGCTAAAACCAAGATCAGTGTTTTGGTGGTCAGGGCAAGAGAAGCCATTTGCGTTTCCTTTCGGCCTATTTTTTGTCGTCAGGGGGTTCCCTACTAGGACACTTGAGTGTCCCGAAATTTCATTTAGTCGGGTCAGTTGGGTTTGTTTCCTAGCATCTTTGGCTGGTGGTAGCGGAGCAGAGGGCAGGGCCTTGGGTGCAGGCGAGCAGAGAAGGGTGGTTCGAGGTGGTGACCGGTTCCTTACTGGACACAACTACCACATCCCCGTGTTTTATTAGGAATGTCCCATACCGGATCCGTGTGCGTTTATCCAGAAAGCGTAACGAGGATGAAGATTCCCCAAACAAACTTTACACGTTGGTTACCTATGTGCCTGTCACCACTTTCAAAAGTAAGTCCCGGTCACCCCAGGGATGTGTGCTGGCTGACACCTTGGATTCCTGTCCTTGGGCGCTGACCAGCCCACCTGCCCTTTGTTTTGCAGATCTGCAGACAGTCAATGTGGATGAGAACTGAGCTGATGATGCAATAAACTAAGAAATGACATTTGTACTCTGGTTTTCCTTCATTGTCTGTAACTTGCAGGGGGTATCCAGAGATGGTGCGTTCCCACCTCTCTGGCCTGGGAGTTTCTGGATTTGGGTGGGCTTATTGATGCCTAAAATGAATGTGTGTGCATCTCGGTGCTGAATTAGCTTATTTTCAATGGGCCCGTTGCATTCTCTAGTCCTGGTTTGCGGTGGAGCTTGGGTTAGAGTACCATTCAAGTCCGGCCTTGACACGGGGGTAGTTTACTCAGGTTCTTTAGGCCTTTGGGAGACAGGCAGCGGAGTGAGGTGTCAGTGATGTCACGGAGCTGTTCGCTCAGAATGGAGCGTGGAGGACACTCTGGCCTCTCGCTTTGCCCAGCATTAAACACTTCTTAAAGCCATCAAGTGAGTCAATACAAAAATCTTTATCTTTAAAAACTCGGGAGACCAATATTGAAAGCAAGTTTTGTATACAAGATTTTGGGGGGGAACAAAAATGAATACAACCAAATATATTCTAACGTTTCAATTACCAGCATTGAAACAAAATTAGTGCAAAAAACAAATTGCCCAGGTAGACGCTCTGGAAAGCAAGTTTGTTTCCAACTTGTTTCCATTCTGTCTGGATCAATAAGCCAGACCTAGCTCCTGCATCCTGTTAGAGAAGGTCGGGCTGGCAGCCTAGGATTGCCCAGGCTGATGGGTGAGGTGGCCTGGTTCCCCACCCGCGTGCCCGTGTATTCTCAACAGGCCTCTGAAGACGTGGGTGCAAGGCTGGCCTGGCGGCTGTCACTCGGCTGGAGTTGTGGCTGCCCGGCAGCTCATCTCCAAAGTCCTGATGCTGTACTGGTTCGTCTTGGCATTTTCAAGTTTGGGTTTCATGTCTAGTGGCTTTTCAAAGAAGTTGACTAGTGACTGTTCAGTCAGGAGTGATGCCAAGATGTGTTCTAGGGAAACAGTCCAGTCCCCATCGGCCCCTTGAGCCTCCCGGGGGCCAGGCTGGGAGCCTCGGGAAGCCTTTCCAGGGTCATCGGGAGGCAAGTCCTGGTCGGGACACTGAGCTGCGGGCAGCTGCTCCTCGCGTGCCCGGGGACCCCACTGCCCCACCTCCCCAATCTGCAGCAGCAGGGTGGTCACCGTCGCCATGGCCTGGTACAGCTCGTTCTCCTGTGGGTCCTCATGGAACATGCTGTACAAGGTCTTGCAGAACTGGATAAATTCTCTCTGGAAAGAAAGAGCAGACGCATGACCAGGAGTGAAGTCACTGGCACCCAAGGGATACCGGAAGCAGCATTTCCGTTCCCGTGGACTCACTGCAGGCTTCCCAGTACACTTTGTGATGTTAAGAGGGAAAGTATATGACAGAGTCCCACAGATAGGCGCTCCGCAGCTTATGCCAGGTAAATGGGTCCAGGTGCAGCTGATACACCTCACAGACTACCTTGATTTGCCTAAACGCATTTGGGACCTTCACCCACTAGGTCCTGAGTTTGAGGAGTGGGTTCCTTGGCCAGGACAGGAGGCGAGTGGCCGTGTCCAGCGCGCTGGCCGCTCGGCTGCCAGAGAGCAGCACTCGGCCTGTGCGACGTGGCTTGGTATGAGGCTTGTGCTGCTAACCTAGCAAAGACCGATTACAACATTATACAATGTTCTAAGTACTTTGACACGATTCTTAGGTAAGGAGTTGGGTAACTTCACAGCTCTGGATCAGGAGGTTTAAAACTGACTACAAATTTCATTCACGATCCCATAGTGGGACCTTCCTATGTGGTGTCTTGCGGGTTCCAAGACCCTCAAATAACATACCAGCTAGGAATATTCCACTCTCAGCAGACAAAATCTCTATACCCAAGGAACAGAAGGAAGATTGAAGGGAATTTCCCAAGACAGAAAAGCAGAATTCACAACTAGCCCAGAAAAGAAACTTCCAAATGCTGGGAGAAGTATTTCCAAAGAAACCAGAAGTCCTGGTGTAAACTCAGGTCCCCGGTAGCCTGCAGGACACAGGACAGGCTGACGGGAACTGTATAAAGAATTCCGACGAAACGCTGTGGTTTTACTTTGGCCCAGGGCATTGCTCAGGGTTCTGCTGGCCCAGTGCTTGTGGGACCATTTGGTGCCAGGGTCAAACCCAGCCCTTGGCTTCCTACCTGCTAGCTTTCGGTTTGGGGGCCGCAGGCGACAGTGCTCTGGGGCCAGTCCCAGGGGACTTGGGGGCCTGTGTGTGGTGTGTGGCTGCGTAGCACCTCACCTGCTGTACTCTGCAGGCTGTTGTGGCTGGCAGGACACGGTGCCGGCTGTGCTACTGCGCCTCCCGCCCCTGCTGTCCCCCCCACCCGTCCGCCCGATAGTTTCCAAGGGAAGAATCCACAGAGCTCGCAAGCAAATGGTCATCACGCTAGGAAATACATCACGTTCTGAAAAAAATGCGTTTGAAAATGTCTTCAAAGATGCAACGTGTGTGCAGTTTCCTGCTGTGAGCAGCTCAGTAACGAATATCCACGTGGACCACAATTTCAACATTCCCAGCTGATCCTTCTATTCCAGACCCAGAGTCACAAGAGTCTTCGAGCCTGGCTTTGGGGTAAAAGATCCCAAACCTGCTTTCAAATTTACCTCTGTGCAAGCCACTTAGCAAACAGCTCTTCTGTGCAGAGAGAAAGGCTATACCTGGCTCATTTGGGGCAGCTCCTTCTCGGCGTTTTCCTTCTCTTTGGCTAGATCCTCGATCATCTGCTTCAGCTGTTTCTGATAATCAGCAGCGTCACCTGGACGGAGGGGACACATGTAAGCCAAAGCCAAGAGGATGCAGGTATTGAAGGCGGGCGGTGAGGCGAGAACTCCGGAGTGGCAGGTGAGAGGCCTGCCACTGTCCAGGTGTGGTGCAGGGGTACCACACCAGAGCCTGGACATGGGCAGCACCGAGGGGAGGGAGCCCACCCGCCAGGGACAGCAGCAGGAGGGCACTTGCCGTTGGACTTGACCAGAACCAGGGGCCTGGAGGTGGACAGCAGAGGGCTCTTCAGCGGAGAATGGCTATCCTGGTCATCCTCAGTGAGCGCTAAAAAAAAAAAAAAGAGAGATTGAACCAATCATGGTCTTCCAGGCAAAACTGGCAGTCATTTAACTTTCTTGGTAAAGAAACAGACTTCCAGCTCAGATAGAGAAGGGAGCATCAAACAAAGGGTGCTGGGAAGATCCGCCCAGGATGCATGCTGAAAGTAGACTATAGACCGACCATGGTTGCCACTCAGTGCCTCTTTTGCAAACCACAGCACCCAGAAGGAGAGAGGGAACAAAAGGGAACGCCCTGCCACAGAGGCAGGGGGGGATGGGGGGATGGGGGTGGGAGGGATACTGGGATCAGTGGTGGAGGGATGGGAACTCGATCATTGTATAACTGAAACCCAAGCACAAAAATTCGTAAGTCTACAACTGTACCTCATGGTGTTTCACTGATAGAAATTTAAAAAAGAAAAAGGAACAGCCTTCATGCTTCGTCAGCTTTACAAATTCTGGACCTGGACAACCAGTGAGCACTGTGCATGAGTCTCACACCACATGATGGCCTTCCTAGCTGCACCTGGATAATGTGATCCGTAATATACCGAGCCAGAAGACGCCGCCAGTACTGGCCGGGAAGCGTCTGGAGGATAATCCCATCTGTAAGGCCACACAGAAGGGGCTTGGGAAACAGACTGTCTTCAGTGAAAGCAGGTAAAGCCCGCAGCCCGGCTGAGGGACGGGACTATCACAGCCCAGGAATGATCACCCCAAGAGTCTCTGTGAACTCCACACAGGCTGAGAGCACAGTGGGGAGGGCATCTGCCTTGCGTGCAACCAACCCGGGTCAATGCCTGGCATCTCATGTAGTCCCCCAAAGACTGCCAGGAGCCAGGAGTAACTCCCGAGCACTGCCAGGAGTAATTCCTGAGCACAGAGCCAGGAGTAACTCCCGAGCACTGCCAGGTGTGCTATATCCCTCCCCCCCAAACAGCAGCAGCAGAGGATCCCTGGAGGCAGGCTTGCTGTGAGCACTGCGCCGATGCTGCGCACGCCTGGCAAGTGTACAAGCACAGGCAGGTGCGTCCCACAAGCACACGTCAGAAGTGTGTGTGTGTGTGTGTGTGTGTGTGCGTGTGCGCATGCGTGCGCGTGTCCAAACACGGCAGCAAGCATGTAAACCCTGTGATCGCACAAAGGGAAGGAAACATGGTATTTTTATGTGATTATACTGGGAATTTTGCATACTACTGGTCAGATGTGGGGGACCGGGCCACTTTGGAAACCTGTCGGTTCCAGGCTGCTTCCTTCAAGGCCCGCCTGAGGGGGCGGGTGGGGTGGGCCCTCCCCTCTCCCCCCACCCCAACGGAACCAGAACTCAACCTCGCCAGGCTCACGGCCACTCTCCACACAGTCCGACGGGCTCACCCATAAGGGAACCCGTTCCTGGACACCTCATACCCTACACCACCGATCTACCGAGAGCAGCACACCACATTTCACGGTCACGGTCCTCCCGTTGATCGTCGATTTGCTCGAGCGGGCCCAGTAACGTCTCCATTGGAGACTTTGTTGTTACTGTGTCTGGCATATCGAATACGTCACGGGGAGCTTGCCAGGCTCTGCCGTGCGGGCGAGATACTCTCGGTAGCTTGCCGGGCTCTCCGAGAGGGGCGGAGGAATCGAACTCGGGTCGGCCAGGTTGGCTGTGTGCAAGGCAAACGCCCTACTCTAAAAAACCTCTTTTGGATCATTTTTAGCGGATTATTCATAACAAGCAATACAAAATAAATTATTTCGATTCTGCATTAGGGGCAGGGCAGAAATATCTGAAATCTGGGGATGGGAAGGTGTAACGGTGGTGGGATTGGTGTTCGGATAGTAAATGTAATTAAATACTGTGTACAACTTTATAAAGAAATAAAAAGAAAACTGTCTGCTCCCCAAAACATCAAACAGAACTGCCACTTAGTATCTTGGTATAGATACATGTGCCGGTATAGATGCACACTAAAGATAAAGAAACATGTAGCGCTGTCCTCCCACTGTTCATCGATTTGCTCGAGCGGGCATCAGTAACATCTCCATCGTGAGACTTGTTGTTACTGGTTTTGGCATATCGAATACGACAAGGGGAGCTTGCCAGGCTCTGCCGTGCAGGCGGGAGACTCTCGGTAGCTTGCCGGGCTGAGGGGGGCGGAGGAATCGAACCTGGCTCAGCCACCTGCGAGGCAAACGCCCTACCCGCTGTGCTATTAAAAACTTAGAACTATTCACGGAGCTTTAATTCTAAGATGTAAGGAATAGAAATGCCGGCTGGTGGACACCGTCAGGTGACGCCACTGGCTGAACTCACACACCTGTCAGGTGGGACGGGAGTTGGCCGTGAGAGAAATGAAGCACCTAGAGCCGGGCTGGATCCCGAAGGCACCGAGCTAGAGCGGCGAGACCCAGCCGACCCGGAGACAGCCCGCCCAGAGCAGCAGGCTCCCAGGACTGCGGGCAGCCGGGATGCAGGTGATGGGCGGATCGGACAGGGAAGCATCGCGGGCTTTGGGGGCCAGGGAGAAGGGGGTGAGACCTTCCGAGACAGACGGTGACGCCAGCTCGCTGAATGTGAAGACGCTCAATTACTGGGTGCGTACTGGGTGGAAAACTCCACGGATGGGAAACTGGAGCTCAGTGAGGCAGCTGCCGAAACAAACTTCTGAAGGATTTATCATCTGAGGGTTCTCGAATGTTACAAAGCAGCACGCGGGCAATAAATGCTACGTTAGGAATACACCAGAGGCAGAAATTCACCTGTGCTCCGTCAGACAGCCACGAGGTGGCACCCGAGGCTTGGGAAGGGCCCCTTGCTCACCGGCAGGTCTGGGGAGAAGGGGTCCCTGAGTCCCTGGATTTATTCCCCCTTTCCCCTCCCTGGGGACCGGCCCCCAGCCCCCAACACCAGCCTGGGGACTCGCGCCAGCCCCCTTCAATGTCCATGTGACTGGGGTTTTTGGAGAGGGGGTGGGAATCAGCTGTGCCCAGGCTGTGCCCAGGGAACCACGTGAAATGCCGGGGGAGCAGCATCCCCATAGGGGCAGCACAGGCCCAGGCCCGAACCTCTGTGCTCTCCTGCCAGTACGAAATGTGATTTTTAAGTAACTGAGCGTGTGCGTGGGCTGGAGCGATAGGATCCTGGGGAGGGGCAAATCCCCGCTCTGTGTTTAGGGGGTCACGGGGGCCACGGTGCAAGGCGAGTCCTCCCGCACGCGGAGCAGAGGGCCAAGCCCCAGCCTCTCTCCAGCCCGGCTCTCTCTTCCCCGGGTCTCCCGGCTCGACGCCGCTTTCCGCTCTGGCCCCCACCCGGAGAGACCCTCGATCTGGCCTCGGCTCCAACGTCAGCCCAGAGGTGATGCTGGCACAGCCTCGGATCGGGACCCCCCCCTCTCTGGCAGTGTGGGCTTCCCGTGACTCCCCGCTTCCCCAGGCGTCCTTCCCGGCCTGGCCTGGACCCAGCTCGCCTGGTCCTGCCCAGGCCTGCTCCCGAGCCCCGGAGCTCTCAGTCAGGGAAAGCTCCTTCGGCTCCGGCTCCGGGTTCCTGCCACTGTTTTGGCACACAAATGTTCTCAGAAGCAGATGTCCGGGGTGGGAGAGACAGGTGCCCCTGGGCTGCGGCCAGCTGGGGGCTCCTTCCAGCATTGCTCAAGGGACCACGCGGTTCCCTGGACTGAGCCCAGGCGGTGCTTGAGCTCTCTCACTCCGGGCACTGACGATGCCGTGTGGTTTGTCTGCAGTGCCGCTGTCAGAGCCAGAGCTTCACACAGGTCAGCTCAGAGCCTGCACTGTCCTCGGCCCCAGCGGGGAAGAGGCTTTCAGCTCTAGTCTGCAAATAAAACAGCCCATTCACGGAGTCTCAGCAGCTGCCCGAGAGCACTGCACTCTCGTGTGGAAGCTCACAGGGTCTCCAGATGCAGTTCCCGAGAAATCGTTCTCACAGTCTCTGCCGCTAGGCCTCTGGCTTCAGGCTGGCATCTCAGCTCCTGGCGGAAGTCACGCGTCTTTCTAACGTGCTCCTGTTCCTGGGAAGTTGCCTTCCAGAGTCCAGTCAGAGCCATCGACAGGGGAAATGACCAATCCCCTCCTCTTCATCCGTCCTCAAGGACCCCGATGTGAGAATCTTCTGGAATGTCGCCCCACTCCCTGCTCAGGGTGCGTTTGGGTTTCACATGCTCCACACGCCGCAGTAACCACAGAGTTGCCGGGCGGGTAGGACAGGGACGGGCTGCCTCTGCGTGTGGCCACGATGGCCCATGGCAGCTCGGACATCTGCTCTCCACAACACAAAGGCCAACAGTGGGGCCTGCCACATTCTCTAATTCGGAGGATGATTCCGGATCCCTAAGGCTTCTCTCCTGACTCGGATGTTTGCCCCAGATCACATAAAAAAGTAGTTCATTGTGATAGAAAGTAAATACTTTACATAGGATGTAAATGAAATCTATTTAAATAAAAGTATCTACAGGTGTTGTAGGTCCTCAGAGCCTCAGTAAAGTGGTGTTTAGTTGAAAAGAGTTTGGGGGCCAGAGAGGCAGCAGAGTAGACAGGGTGCCCGCCTTGTCTGGGGCCAGGCTGGGTTTAATTTCTGTCACCTGATGAGACCCCCTGAGCCCAGCAGGAATAATTCCTGAGTGCAGAGCTGGAGTAAGCCCTGAACACGGAGCTCTGAATACTGTAAGCCCCTAGTACCACTGGGCATCGCCAAGAAGCAACCAAAAAAACATTTCTTAAAGGAAATTTTAGTTTTGTGCGTTTTCTTTTGTTTGTTTTGACCACACCCTGGGAATGACTCCAGGTTCTGTGTGCAGAACTTGCTCCCAAACTCTCAGGGGGCCTTGCAGTACCAGGGACCAAAACCAGCTCGAGCCAGATACCAGGTCTGAACCTGCCTGGACTCGGAGCCCTCTCTCCACCCTGCTGGGGGACTCGTAAGAACTTTAAAGCCTGCATCAGAAATTCAAATGTTGAATCTAAGTAAGCAAAATAGTATGTCAAAACTCAATCTCCTGTTTACCAATTCAGAGTCACAATATAAATATTATAATCATAAGTAGATTTAAAAGGTTTTAAAGATAGGTTTCTGGGGCCACGCGATGCACAGGACATTAAGACATTTGCTGTGTTTGCAGCAAACCCCAGTTTGAGTTCCCAGCACATCGAGTCTCGTAAGACCGTCCAAGGTGACCCTGAGCACTGCTGGATGTGGCCCAGCCCTCAGCCCCCCAAAAAAGAAAAGAAAAATTGATTTTCGGAAGTCACAAAGGCCTGAAAGTGTCTTTTTATGGTGTGTGTGTGTGTGTGTGTGTGTGTGTGTGTTCGGGAGCTACACCGGGCAGTGCTGGGGTGACTCCCTGCTCAGTGCTCATGGCTCAGCTGGAGAGAGTGGACCATGCAGAGGCCGCACTCCCCTCCTCTGAGGCTTCTTCAGCCGCATGCGATGTCTTGAACCAACCAGGCGACCCAAATGTCCTTCGGAATCAAGTCTGGGATCTGGAGAACTCAGGAAGTTAGATCCAGAATCAAGAACCAACTGTCTGGGCCAGAGCGAGGACGCATGGGCGAGGCACACACACAGCTCCTGTGGTCTGAATCCCGGCATGACAGCGGCCCACCGAGCCCTGCCAGGGGACACGGCTGGGCAGGGGCAGGGGGGAGGGTGGGGCAGACCACCCTGCGTCAGGTATGTCAAGCGGTGACACTGAAATCTCGTCATGAACGTGAGGCCGTATCCAGGGAGAAGCCCCTCTACCTCGTCTTGGGGCTTGAGTGTCGTCCCCAAAGAGCTCACTTGGAGACAGTCAGAGGAACAGCCCAGAAGGCCGAGCCGAGGTCTACAGGGGGGCGTGGCCCAGGCAGGGTCACAGGCAGCTGCCCGGGGGATCTCCCCTGTGCGGGCAGCTCTCCTGTCTGCCTTTCCTCTCTCTGCGAGTCACTCTGTGCTCCAGGGGACCCCTGGCGTTTTCTCTGGAGACATCGGCTGTCCTTGGGGCTGGGCCGGATGGGCTCCCAGGAGGCAGCGTCTCAGGCCAGCTGGCGCTCTGGCCCCGGTGCTCTCAACTGCTGTAACAGCCTCTGGGCCTTCATGCCCTTCTGCCGACCCAGCCCCAGGACCCCCAGCCCACATCCAAGGCAAGCCTACGCGGGCACCCGGCTCCCTGCTCCGTCTAGACAGGCCGACAGAGCGAGAGGCGGCCAGAGAGGGGCCAGGCGCCCTCTCACGCCGAGTGAAACAGAACTGTGGAGGGCAGAGAGCCAACCCAGCGCCCTGGGTGCCGGCACAGGCGTCCCTGCAGGAGGCTCCAGAAGTCTCAGAGTGAGACAAAGCCCCGGGTCCTCCAGGTCGGCTGTCAGGCCGCCCGGCCGCAGTCACTGAGTGTCTGCCCCTTCCTTCCCGGCGAATGTCACTCACACGGTCTCGAGCTCCGTGGGGAGAAGGAACCACGCCGTGAGCTGGGAGAAGGGCAGGACGCGGGAGGCGCGCGGGGTGGTGGGCGGGGCGGGGCGGGGTGCAGGGAGCCACCCCTGTCAGTACCGGGACACCCAGAATCTCAGGCTAAGAAAAGCATTTGGGGAGAGAGAAACCAGAGCCCCACACGCAGCCGACCCACACCGAGGCCTGACTGTCCGACTGGACGTCTCCTACCTGGAGGGATGTGGAGTCGATATAACAGTCTGATTTTCTCATTCATTTCTCCGTGATACATGATATCTGCAAAAGAGAAGAGACACTCTGAGAGGAGGCAAGGAGTTGGCACATCTGCTGGGCCAGCGACTCCTCCGGAAAGAGACCGGGAGGGCGCGTGTGGGCCCAAAGCCTCCCGGCTCCTGCCCACCTGCAGAGCCACGCTGGGGGGAAGGGGCAGGAAGGCCCCGTGAGCCACACGGCCCCTGCTTTCTGGAAGATGGGCACCTGTGCCATGGGCCGGGCTTCCTCTCTCGAGGGGCCTGTCAGGAAGGTGACCCAGGCAGGGGCTCAGGGCTGGCTCTGGGCTCGGGGTCAGAGAGGAGGTCTGCACTGAAGCTCTGGACACCACAGTGACACGTGAAACCGTAGTCAGATGGTGGCAGATACAGTTCCGAGGCCCGAGCTCGTGTCCCCAGCCGGGGGCCCTACCCAGGCAGCTGACGAAGGCCTTGAAGCCGATGAGCCTGTCTGTGCTGGCGTCCAGCAGCCGGAAGGTCCGTTTGGCGAGGACCTCGGTGTGGGCCCCGCAGGCCCAGGGTGCAACCAGCCGGAAGAGATGAGAGAACTGGTGGGCGTCGACGCGGTACTGCTCGGCGTAGGGCCGGCCGGGGTCGTGGCGGGCCAGGGGCGCGGGCCGCTCCCAGTAGCAGCTCAGCATGTGCTCCCGCTGGGGACGGGCGAGATCGTGAGAGGGGCCGAGGGCCCGGCCCTCTGCTCCCGCCCCGAGCACTGCTCTCTGAGCAACGCCACGAGGACGGGCGAGTCAGGGTCGTGCCCTCTCAGGCTGCAGAAGCCGAGGCAACTCTGACACATGTATCCTTTTTAAGTTAAAGTTTCTTTTTCATTGTGACAAAATAAACAGGATATGGAATTCCCTCTCTAAACCAACGTTACGGCACAGTTCTCAAAACGGGGTGCTCTGGGGCCACCCCAGCTGTGCTCTGGGCTCCCCCCACCCCCGCGCCCAGGGGCCACTGCCGCTTCATCTCAGACAGCATCTCCCCCCGGTGCCCTGGCGCCTTGCTGCCCGCCCTTCCCCACGTAAGCGTCACGCTGGCGCCAGCTGTCAAACGCCCCCCCCCCCCCCAGCCACTCCGAAATGGAACGGGACAGGGCGCATGGCCCAGCCCAGTCACCCCAGGGCCCTCTGGCCTCCATCCCCTCCCGCCAAGGCGGCCTGAAGCGCTGCTTGGTCTCCCCGGGGTGCGGCTCTGCCCAGCCTGGCAGAGGCAGGGGTTGCCCGTGGTCCCCGAATAAACCCTCCCGCTCCTCCAGTTTCTCCATCTCCGCCCCTCGGTCTGCCGGCCAGGGCCCTGCCCTGCCCCCCCCCGCACCCCCCTCCCCCGCCCCGGGCCTGCCCTGGCCCCAGGGTGGGTTCTCGTTCCCGCCCTGGGCAGCCCTGCGTGTCCACACCTTGAATAAGTCGTACAGCTCCTCGAGGTCTTCGGGCGGGATGGACACCTCGGGGGCCACGACGCGGAGCTGCAGGAGGCAGAAGGCAGAGGTCAGTCCCGGGCCGGGGGCAGGGCCAGGGCCGCTTCCTCCACGGTCGGGCGGGGTGGAGGGGCACGTCCCCGGGTGCTCACCACGTTCTGCTTGGTGGTCTCTTCGTGGCCCTGCAGGACCCTGACCCTGTGCCTGCAGCGCAGGTGCTCCAGTCGCTCCACCGACGGGTCCCCGAACCTCTGCGGGGAGACGGGGGTCACGCAGGCCGGGCACCTGGGCTCGGGGGTGGGGCGTCGCATACCTCGTAGGCGTCCTGGATCAGCTCCGCGATGTCCGGCGCCGGGGGCCCGTCCGGGTCCGCATCCGAGAAGGCAGCGCGGCGGCTGCCTAAGGCCGGCCCTGGGCTGTCCTCGTTCCGGACTCGATCCAGGAACCTGCGCACAGAGCCAGGTCCCGCGGGGCCAGCGCCTCGCCCCATTCAGCTCCCGCGTCCCCTGCTGTCCACAGGGCAAGGGGGAGGCCACGGCACTGGCCCGGGTCAGGGTGTGCAGAAGGCCAGAGAGGGAGCCTCCGAAGATCTGAGACCCCCTCACCCCACTCACGACCCCCTCCGGGCGCCTGGGGGTCACGGATGACACCAGCAAATGTGACCGACCGGAGGGATGGTCAGTCTGGGCCCTGCTAAGGCCTCAGTCCGGCCGCTGGGTAACCCCGAGAGGGGCCAGGGGCCGCCGGGTGCTGGGACTCCCTCGCAGCCTCGTGCCTGCCCACCCAGCCCCAACCCCGCACCCTCCCCCAGGCCACTCCACCCACCTGCCCAGCACCAGCAGGGCCTGGCCGTCGTCCCGGCTACGGCACAGCTCCTCGGCGGTGGCCTCCAGCACGGCCAGCCCCAGCTGGAAGACAGCCTTGATGCCGTCGTAGAAGAAGCAGTCCATCACGCTGACCGCACTCTCCAGGGGCATGATGCTGAGGAAGAGCGTCAGGAACCAGGAGAGCGAGACGGACGCCAGGGTCGAGAGGTCACTCAGGTGCTCGGCCAGCGCGGGCAGGTGCGTCCTGATGAGCTCCTCAAACACGGACTGGTCCACCTGGGCCCCTGGAAGGCAGGTTCGAGTCTGAGCCCGCTGTCTCCGAGGCCGACCTGGGCCACGCCGCGTTCCGGGCTTCTGCCTCTCTGACGGAGGTGAGGGGGGCATCCCCAAAGCATGCCACAGGCCTAAACACACACGCGAAGGCTGCGAAACGTCCCAGAGCAAACGCAGGGAAAGGGACGTTCCGACCACGCACAAGGGTCCGGCCGTAGGGGAAAACCCTCCATTCGATCCCTTCCCAATTCAAGGCCAATGTGCTTCACGGCATTTCACATGAAAAAAATGCAAACTTCAAGCTCAGAAAATACGTGGGATGCACGCAACTGACCAAACGTCTTATGCTTGAAACAACGAACCCCAACAACGGATTCTTTTAAGATAGACCAAAGCTCTCGGGCACGTCCGGAGAGCCGAGGAACACCTGGTCACTGATTACAGGGCAGCACCAGTGTCAGTGATGGGCAGAGGGCAGGGGGGTCACCGGGAGGCGCCGAGCCGGAGCTGCTGACGCTGCCAAGGCCCTGGGGCTGCTGGCACACGCGCGGTGCAGGGCTGACGCTCCTCCCTGGGTCAGACGCAGCCCTACGCTCAGATCCTGCAAGCCCTCCTGCTCGGCCCCTACCCGCGCCCCAACTGACTCAGAGGGCCTGGCACTAGTCCCGAAAACCCAGAGCCCTGAGACCACCCAGGCATCCACCAGGGCCGAGTGAGAGGGTCGGGGGCGTGCTGAGTGGGTGCAGGAAGAGGAACTGGAGTCCCACCAGCATGGGAAACTCTGCTGGACGCCCCCTGGCCGGTCGGGGCAGGCCAAGGACAGGGCGGTGAGGGCCCCTGGAGCCATGCGGAGACACGCTGAGCAGAAACGCCCTCAGGGAGTGGGACGGTGAGTGTCCCTGACATACCCCGAGTCACGAGTCACGTGGAGCCCACCCAACGGGGAAAGCCCCCCTAGCACACATCCACTGGCCACATCGTCTAGTGAAGATGATGGCCATGAGAACAGCAGAGACCCGCTGCCCACCGCCTGGTGTCCTGCCTGGGCCCCGTCTCAGTGGTCCCACTCACACCACCCTGCCTCGCACCCCATCTCTCAGCTGGAGTCACAATCTGTGCATAGCTTTCTACTGAGAGAGGGAGAGAGAGAGGGAGAGAGAGAGAGAAGAGAGGGAAGGAGGGGGAGAGAGGGGGAAGAGAGAGAGAGAGGGAGAGAGAGGGAGAGATAGGGAGAGAGAGGAGGGAAAGAGAGGGGGAGAGAGAGAGGAAGGAAGGGAGAGAGGGAGAAGAAGAGAGAGGCAGATGGAGCTAGACAGAGAGGGAGAGAGACAGAGAGAAGGGAGGAGAGAGGGAGAGAGAGGGAGGGAGGGAGAGAACACCTCACATCGACAGTGCGGAGGTCAGCAGCCAGGGTGCAGCCCACCGGGCTTCCTGGCCCCCTCAGGCAGGGCCCTGCAGAGGGCAGACGGCATCTGTGCGAGGAGCCCTGGCTCCCCGCATGGCCTTCACCAGCCACCGCCTCCTGCCTTTCAGCCTTTCATCCTAGTCCCAGGACACAAGCACTTCCTTCCCGCCCTCGGGTCCCCAGCCACAGTCTAGTAGGGACATTGGACTCTGTGTCAGGCTTAGAGACACGTTTCTGATTGTGTTGAGACTCGCCCTGCAGTGCTCCTGGTAGTGTTGGGGCCACCCCGGCGCACAGAGACCGGCCGCGCACCAGGCCAGTGCCACCCGCTCCGCTGTCTCTTCAGCTCAGAACCAGGTTTCGTGTGACCTACGATCAGTAGGTGTTTGCCAAGCTGTGCCAAGAAATGCCCGGGTTCATCATGCACATTCAAGAGGCAAACAGGATGGGAAGGGACCAGCTGTGAGACGGGGCAGCTGCGGGGACAGCTGTGGGCAGGGCAGCTGGGGCAGGGCGGCTGCAGGCACCAGCTGCAGGCACCGCCGCGGCGGGGCAGACTCACCGATGACGCGCTGGTTGAAGTAGTCGGGCAGCATCCGCTCGCACACGGCCACCAGCAGCCAGAAGGCCTCCTCCTCCCGGGCGTAGAGCAGCAGCACGGAGGTCAGGATGTTCATGGACTGCGCGGGCCACAGAGGAGGGGCCGTTACTGACCAGACACGTGGCCCTTCCTCGGGAGGGCACGGGACTGAGAGACAAGCCAGGTGGGGGGATGCGCCCAGGCCCTGTCCACACGAGAGCCTGTCGGGGCTGGGGCGTCACCGTCTGGCCTCCGCCCAGGGGCCCCGGCCTGGCCTCCGTGTTCCCGCACGATCCCACTCACCCCCAACGCCCTCACCCACGAAAGACAGCCGGGACGCTCGCACTTGGGGCCGTCCTATTGAGGGCTTCTGTGCTGGGGCCATTCCGGGTGGGACCAGGAGCCTCCTGGCGCTGCCCTGAGCTCATCCAACCTCCCACCCCCAGATCCACTGGTAGGGATATTGTGCAAACCCACCCCTCACCCAGGGGCTCGGTGCCCTGTTGCCCCTGGCTCTGAAGTGGCCCCTTTGTCCCCTTCAGACCTCACGTTTCCAGTCTGCACTGGGCCCCACAGGCCAGCGTCCTCCTGCCGGGCACTCGGCATCACGCCTGCGCGTCCCGTGGGGGGGCGTTGGCCCACGTGGTCGGGGGGTTAGGGCGGCCACCTCCACCTCTGATGGGCCTGGAGGGGAGCACGGGGACACTCAGGGGGGCGCGGAAGGCGCACCTGGCAGTACCCGATGCGGGGGTTCCGGTGGGCGTAGGCCGTCAGCACGCGCCGCAGGGCCGCAATGCCCGTGTCGCTCTGGAAGGCTGGGTGCTCGGGCAGCGAGCGGTGCAGGTCGCGCTCAATCTCCTCCGTCACGGGGCTGCTCCGGCCCAGGGACGCCTCCACCAGCGCCCCGTAGTAGCCCGGGTGCGAGGCCAGGTCGGTGACGGCACCTGGGGGCCACCGCGTGGGGTTTGGAACCAGGGGCCTCCCCCGCCCCCTCCCTCAGCAGGGACCACCCCCTCCCCTGCCCCGGGGCCCGCGGCCACCTGCCGGACCTTTCCCCGTGACCCCACCCCTACTAAAGCAAGTCAGGAAGTGGCTTTTATAGGGCAGGAATAGCTGGAATGACCAGATGGCTGAATCTCAGGCATTCGGGATGAGGCCCGCGTGTGGGTCTGTTCATCTGGGAAAATGGAGCTGTACATGGTTGGTGCATCCGTGGGGGTGGCAGGGACCCCAGCAGTGCCCGGGGCTCACTCCTGCCTCTGCACTCGGGACCCCGGGGGGTGTCCAGGGCACCACACGGGGAAGCAGGCACTGTGCCAGCACCCTGGGCTTCCCTGCTACCCGACGGGCCGTTGGAAGAAGAGCGGCCCACGGCCAGGCCCGGGAGCACCTGGGACAGCACTCGGCTGTGGCTTGGAGCGGGGGGCCCGCCGCCCGGCACTTGCCTGAGAAGAGCAGCCAGAGTCTGCCACGCAGGGCCTCCGGGACCCCCATGGCCACGAGCTTGCGGATCTTGTCAGTGCGGAACATGCAGACGGTCCTGCCGAACTCCGCGAAGTGGTCGTGCCACAAGCTCGTCTTGACCTGCTCACGGGACTGTGCAGGAAGAGCGTCAGCCCACGGCCGTCAGGCACGCAGCCACGCCGCTCACGGGGGTCTCGGAAGGGCTCGTCCTGCCAGTCACCCGAGGCGGCCCCCAGGGAGGCGGGGGGCAGGCCGGGCGGGGGGCGGGGGGCGTCGCGCTCGCGGTGAGACTCGGCCCGTGCCAGGCAAGGCGGAAACCCAGACGCAACACCGTCCGCATCGGCGGGAGTGGCAGGGCCTTGCCAGCCCCTGAAGGTGCCCCTCTGTGCAGAGAGGGAGCAGGGCTGAGGGCATCTTCCTCACAGGCCGCCCCCAGCGCCCACCCCGAGCGTCTCCCCAGGAGGGATCCCTGAGCACAGAGCCGAGAGTAAGCCCCGAGCACCGCGGGTGGGGCCCCCAAACAAATTCAAGAACATTATTCTTCAAAAGTAGGATTTTTAAAGTACCCTTTAAGCAAGACGTGTGCACTTTAAGCTTTTAATAATCCTCGAACCGCTTTAACTTTTTTGTTTCCGTTCAGGGGCCACACCCAGGGGTGCTCGGGGCTCACTCTGCTCCCAGGTAATCTCAGGGGACACGCTGGGTGCTGGGGATGAAGCGTGGGTCAGCAGCACGGAAGGCAAGTGCCCGTCCTGCTGTGCTCTCTCTCCCGCCCTCAGAAAGTCGAATCATGTTTCGACTTTGTTTAGTTTCCACTGGGGAGCCACGCCTGGCAGTGCTCAGGGCTTGCTCCTAGCTCTGTGCTCAGCAATCACCCTTGGCAGGCCCAGGGGGCCCCGCGGGTATCTAGGGTCAACCCTGGGCCAGCTGTGAGCAGGGCGAGCCCCCTGCCCAGGCACCATCTCTCCAGGGCCCCGAGCTCACGGATTCTCATGCGTTTTGCGGCCAGCCTGCTCACTGCTCGGCCCAGGCTACGGAGCCGATGGGTCAGTGCTGCAGCCAAGGCTACCCCTGGGTGCCTGGTGCCCTGCGGTGGCTAGGGCTGGTCATGTCCCGGCACCTGCCCCACCCTGCGCCCTGACCCTGGGTTAGCTGCTGCTGGACAGTGACCGACAGCACTGGGGAGAAACAGAGGGGTGTGTGTGGGAGGGGGGGTCCCTGGGGCAGGGCACTGACTCTGCAAAGGACCCCCGAGGGTGGCACTGTGGCTGCCTGGCAGGTACGGGAGAGCGTGCCCCCCCCCACACACACACTGCTTAGAGACTGGTCAGGTGAGCCTCTGGGTGCTAGCGTGTGGGAAGGTGTGTCCACACGACACCTCATGCCTCTGGGCGCCGTCCCAAGCCACACGCCCTCAGACGCCCCCCTGGGGCAGAGGGTACGACCCCCCCACCCCCCCCACCCCACTCCCGGCACACCAGAAAGGCACACGCCGCCTTAAGGGGACCCGGGCAGCACAGGGCCTCGGTGTCCCGAGCCCTGCCCACTGCTGGGCAACACTGGTTTGTCCTCGTCCACCCCCCCCCTAGAGCTCAGGTTTATTGGGTTATGCCCATCCCAGTGCTCCTGAGGCACTGCCCCCCACCCCGTGTTTATCTGTGACCTCTCTTCTGTGCTCTCTTCCCCTGTCTGTTAACCACCGACATCCCCGAATCTGACCCTGTGACTTGGAAAGTCAGATCTTCTGCGGACTCTGGATTCTGTACACGTCAGTGAAATACTGCTTCTGTCTTCTCCTTAAGTCCTTTGCCTGGTCACTTCAGAGCGATGTCCTCCTTGGACGGACACTTTAATGCTCTGCTTCTGCAATTTGGGAGTTGACTGACTCCGAATGATATTCACCCCTGGGCATCTGTTCTCTCAACTTAAGCCTCAGTTGCCCTTCCTTCCTAGCACCCCAAAGCAGGATCCCAACAAGGGACTGGGCAGACCCCGGGCAAGCTGCCAGCTACGAGCTACCCTGGCATTGAGATGGGACAGGCCAAGCATCATTAAACTTACGATAAGTTAAGAGCATGGTCGCGGAACAAACTCTCATACCCAAAGAGAAGAGACTGGACAAGGACCCTGCTGGGGTTAGGAAGGACTAATCTGGCCTGAGCACTGTAGTCTGGGATCGATAGCGAGATGTCCCCCGGGGAACCACCCTACAAGCTTAACGGATCTCTCACTGTGTCCATACAAAATGACGACAAATATTATTAAGAAGTTAAGATGACTGTTTCACTGGGTTTCACTGAGGAAAGGAGAAACAGCCTGAGATGGAGCTGTGCCCTGAGTGGATCTCCGGCAGGACGAGAATCTGTCGGGGAAGCAGCTCCCCCTCGGGGCAGGCCTGACGGCTGTCAACCACACAGCCTCCCCTCTGCGAAACTGTCCCCAACCCTGCGGATTCCTCTTACCCAACGCTGTGGGACTGGTATGGGGCGCGGGGGATGGAATGAAGGGTGACTGATGCCAGCCGGACTGGCGGCCCCGCTCCCTCCTCTGCTCGCCGTGGCATGCCCCTGGCCCCTGGCCACCGAACACCGGTCGCGCACCCACGTTCTGAGCTCAATCCCCCAGAGGACCCCCCACTCGGGGCTGCGGGGACCCACTCGGCCGCCCTGCCCTGGGCCCCTGCGGGCACCCACCGTTCTGGACTCTGGGCTCTGGCGGCCCAGCTGCTGGAAGACGGTGATCAGGGCCTCGGGGTGCAGCCAGGGCCGAGACGCCTTCTCGCCTGCCTCGGGGCTCTGCGATGGTGCCGTCTCTGGACCCCCAAACCTGTGCTCGCCACTCGTGCTGGTCGGGTGAGATGCAGGCGCAGTCTGCAAGGTGACAGGAGGGAGGACAGTCTCGTCTGGGCCCCGGGGCGGGAGCAGGAGCAGGACAGGAGGATGGGCCTGGCGGTGAGCAGCCCCAGGAAGGCGGGAAGAATGTGCCCATCCCGCCTCCGGCCAGAGCAGCAGACCAGGGAAAAGGCCCGTGGGACGCTGGGTCCAGCGAGCAGCTGTGGGCCCTTAGACAACGAAGCACCCTGGACCCCCAGGCCCAGCTGCAGCCTTGGGCAGGGCAGGGTTCAGGGGGCAGCACTACTGACCACTGGGTCAGCCTCCAACTGTGGGTCCACGCTACCAAACACCCCCACTGGTGTCACCTCACCATTCTCTGGCTTGGTATTGGTGTGTTGGCGGCCACACTGGCAGGGTTCAGGGGTTCCTCCTGGCGGTGTTTGGGGGACCATACAGGGTGCAGGGGATGGAGCCAGGGTGGCCACATTCGAGGCCAGTGCCCTGCCGACTGGTCAGGGTCCCCTCAGGCCTCCACCTTGAGGCCTTGCTACAGGCCACCTCTGCTGAGCTGACACGCAGACCCAGCGGCCGGAACACGCTCCATGTCCGGGTGGCCACGTCCACGGGCCGGCCACCGTCCTCCCAGAAAGCCCGCCCCGCCCCGCCCCGCCCTGCCTCACCCCCTGCCGGGAGGCCTCGGCGGGCTCCGGGTGGCGGCCGTGCACCCGCTCCAGTCGCGCCAGCAGCCCCTCCACCAGGCGGTCCCTGTCCGTGAGCTCAATGAACTGGAAGGCCATCTTGCTCCGGACGCTGACGATGATGGGCTGGGGCAGCAGGCTTGTGTCCTCCATCTTCTCGATGCTCAGCACCTGTGGAAGAACCACACGCCCACGGCAGGTAAGCGCGGGAGGGCGGCGGCGTTGATGCGGCGTCTCGAAACGGTGAGGGACCCAGACAAAAGTGTGAGAGGCGCACGCTCACCCTGGCCAAGGGGGTGGGCACTCGGTCCCCTTGGTGGGTCCACACATACACAAAATCCCCAGCAGAGGGGCCAGGAGAATGTTATCTCTTCAGCCTCAGAAAGGAGAAAATCCGGGCTGGAGCGACAGCACACAGCGGGTAGGGCGTTTGCCTTGCACAGCCGACGTGGGTTCGATTCCCAACATCCCAGCATCCCAGAGGGTCCCCCGAGCACCGCCAGGAGTAATTCCTGAGTGCAGAGCCAGGAGTAAGCCCTGAGCATTACTGGGTGTGACCCCCCCCAAAAAAAAAATCAGGAGAAGATCCTGTTGTATGCTACAACACAAACGAACCATGAGGATGTTATGTTACAGTAAAAATAAATAAATAAAAACTATCGCAAAAGATAAATGAAAGCACTTGTCAGGGGTATTGAGAACAGTCAGGTTCCGAGACGCAGCAGAAGGGAGGGCCATGACGGGGGATGGGAGATTCCCAATGCCCCCATTGAGGAAGGACCTTTGACTCCGCAAGATGAAACGGTTCTGGAGATCATCTGAACTACAGTGTGAATGTTCTTAATGCAAACACCTGTGCACCTAAAAACGGTTAAGATGATTTTACAAAAGACTGTGGGGAATCACGACCTAAATTTTTCTCTTCCGTGAATCCAGGAGGCCCTCAGGGAGGGTTTGTCCTTGCTCCCCAGTGGAAACTAAACAAAGTCGAAACATGATTCGACTTTCTGAGGGCGGGAGAGAGAGCACAGCAGGACGGGCACTCGCCTTCCGTGCTGCTGACCCACGCTTCATCCCCAGCACCCAGCGTGTCCCCTGAGATTACCTGGGAGCAGAGTGAGCCCCAAGCACCCCTGGGTGTGGCCCCTGAACGGAAACGAAAAAGTTAAAGCGATTCGAGGATTATTAAAAGCTTAAAGTGCACACATCTTGCTTAAAGGGTAGTTAAAAAATCCTACTTTTGAAGAATAATGTTCTTGAATTTGTTTGGGGGCCCCACCTGCCGTGCTCGGGGCTTACTCTTGGCTCTGTGCTCAGGGATCCCTCCTGGGGGAACGCTCGGGGTGGGCGCTGGGGGCGGCCTGTGATGAAGATGCCCTCAGCCCTGCTCCCTCTCTGCACAGAGGGGCACCTTCAGGGGCTGGCAAGGCCCTGCCACTCCCGCCGATGAGGACGGTGTTGCGTCTGGGTTTCCGCCTTGCCTGGCACGGGCCGAGTCTCACCGCGAGCGCGACGCCGACATCTTCCAGAACTCAATGGAAAACCAAGGTATGGACCGGCAGTGACGGCACATGCCAGGATAGGGGAGGAGTCGGTCCCTCCCCTCGCCCTCCCCAATGGGACTCTGGGATGACGCCCAAGAAAGTCCCCCGCCGACTTATTAAGCTTCTTAACGGTCATGATCCCAGAGACACATAAACGAATCTCAGAACCGAGCAGCTCTTGGTAGAAATCTCTCCAGACCCTAGTTATTAAATTTTTTGAATTCCAAAACCATGCGGCCACTCTCGTGGCCACACAACATCATACGCTACTCATAACCAGCAATAGAAAACAAACTGTACAACGTTGCCTTTCCCCCCAATACTCAGCAGGTCTGAGTATTGGGGGGAAATTCCAAATAATAATTGTGGGACTGGTGTCAAAATATTGAATGTAATCAAAGCAGAGGGAGGGTAATGTGGAAATTTTCTGCCATCCACGCAGGGGTGGGGTGGGATGGGGGGTATGCTGGGGCTTTTGGTGGTGGAGAATGTGCACTGGTGAAGGAATGGGTGTTTGATCACTGCATGACCAAAGACTCAAACATAAAAGCTTTGTAACTTTTCTCATGGTGATTCAGTAAATAAATTTTTAAAAACTCATTAAAGGAATTTGCCAAAAATTTAAAAAAATTAAAAATCAAAATTAAAAAAATTTTTTTAAAAAGTGGAAAAACCCCAATGCCAGGAGTTCAACAACAGGCTTCTAAATAACAAATGAATCAGAGATGAGGTCAAGAGAAACACAGAAAAGTTTCCTGGAATTAAAGGGAATCAAGAAATACACCATCCGAATCGATGGGTCACGGCAAATGTACGAAGGGGGAAATCCACAGCAAGTCAGTCCAGTATTAGGGGAGAAGAGAAAGCTCCGATCAACAACCCAAACATACACCTCCGCTACCCGGAGAGATCTCAGGCATCATTCCTCAGCAGGACCCGGGCCCAGGGACCCGTCCTGGTCAGTGTGGGCTGCTGACAGACTCGCAGGGAGGAAGCACACGCTGGAATCTGGTGGCAAATCACCCTGTCTGGGGTGGGGCTTCACGAGTCACAAACAGCCTGTGTTGGCACGATCCTGGTTCCAATCAAATGCAGCTAAAAAAACAAGTGCAAGGCTATGAGCCCTTGTAAAATTAATAGAATTCTAAACTGCAGCTGCGGGGAGGAAGGGCTGAGGACACTGAAAGTTTTCCCAGAACTTCACAAAACTCGAACTGATCAGCTGGTAATAGCTGGTAACAAGTTTGCTAGCACAGCTCCGGCAGAGAAGGACAAGAGGCAACACTCAGCTGACTCCCTCAGCAATATCCCTAGTAGAAGGGCCAACTGAAAATCAGAAAGACTCACCCAGAGCCCAAGCCCAGCATGAAGGGTGTATGCCTTGCACGCCACTGCCGTGGGTTCAACCCTCAGCATCCCATATGGTCCCCAAGTCTGCCAGGAGTAATTCCTGAGCACAGAGCTAGGAGGAAGCCCTGAGCACTCCCAACTGTGGCCCCCAAGCAAACACAAGTCCAGAAACAATGTACCCCCTGCCACGTTCACTGAGTAAAGAGTGTGGTCCAGAAGGTACCTCATACTCGAAGATAAAGATTTCAGAGACAACATCCTGAGGGTGTTTGAATAAGCTCAAATAAACAATAGTACAGGTCATCAATATACCACAAGAAACTGTAAGACCAGAAATAAGAAAACAAGGAGGGCTGGAGAGATAGCACAGCAGGTAGGGCATTTGCCTTGCACGCAGCCGACCCAGGTTCAATTCCCAGCATCCCGTATGGTCCCCTGAGCACCGCCAGGGGTGATTCCTGAATGTAGAGCCAGGAGTAATCCCTGAGCATCCCAGGGTGTGATCCAGAAAGAAAAAAAAAAGAAGAAAGAAAGAAAAAGAAAACAAGGAAATTGCAATCAGAAGTGACAGAAGCAAAGAGTCTGGTGGGTCGAATAACTCGGTGGAAAGTCTGGACAACAGAGTGACAACAATTGAGAATAAACTCAGTGAACTGAGTTACAGGAAACCTCTGAGAATTAACAGAAGTGGAAAGAAGGTCCCCAAATAACTGAAGAGCACACGAGGGAAATGCGGAAAGAGCTTCACGGGAGCAATGTAATATCCCCCAGAGCCCCTGAGGCAGAGGAAAGTGAAGCACGAGAGTCATTAATCACAGAAATAGAGCTAAGAAATTCCCGGGACTCTCTTCCCGACTCTGCGCCCTTCCCAGAGTGCACGTCCAGATTCAAGAGGCCTGAATAAAAGACACCTGAATAAAAATACTTCTAGGCACATCATAATGGGAATGACAAAAGGCAAGAAATAAAATGCTGAAAGCAGTAAGGTCAAAGAAGGAAATTACATATAAAGGATCTTCACGAAGATTCACCCCAAGTGAGACTCTATGGGGACAGAAAAAAATAGTGGTGTATTGTTTAAAAAACTTAAAGATACATTTGGGGCAGGGGTTGGGTTCGAGATGGAAACATCCCAAATACGGTGGTGGGAAGGTATAATGGTGGTAAGATTGATGTTAAAGTAGTAAATGTAATCAAATATTGTAAACTACCAATTTCCCCCCGCTTTTTGGGCCACACCCGGCGATGCACAGGGGTTACTCCTGGTTCATGCACTCAGGAGTTACTCCTGGCAGTGCTCAGGGAACCATATGGGATGCTGGGAATTGAACTTGGGTCAGCCGCATGGAAGGAAAACGCCCTATCCGCTGTGCTGTCTCTCCCAGCCCCTGTTGTTGTTCTTTGGGGGCACACCCTGCAGTGCTCAGGGCTGTCTCCTGGCTCCAGGAACCATACTGGGTGCTGGGGATCGAACCCAGGTTGACCGCGTGCAAGGCAAACATTCTTCCCATTGTACTATCACTCCAACCTCTTCTGTCTGCTTAAGAATTTAAAGAACAACAACAACAAATAAAGCAGACAGAGACAAAACAAAAGGGAAAACTACAGGCCTTTATCTCGGATGAACACAGACGCAAAGATCCTCAACAAAATATTAGCAAATCAAATCCAATAATACATCAAAAAGATCATCCACCAGGACCGAGTGGGATTCATCCCAAGGATGCAAGAATGCTTTAATTATGCAAGTCCATGTAATGCACCATAGCTATACAAGGAAAAGTGAAAATCAGATTATTATCATCAATAGATCATGCAGGGAAAGTATTTTACAAAAATCCAACACTCACTCATGACAAAGTTTCTTCAGCATCGTCAAAGCCAGTTATCACAAGCCACAGTAAACGTCATACTCAACAGCCAAACACTAAAACCCTCTCCTCTGTGATTAGGCATGGAACAGCTGCCCCCAGCACCACAGCTGCCCGGTACAGTACCAGAAGTCTGTCCCTGCCATAGCAATAGGTCAAGAAAGAGATATTAAGGGCATCCAGATCATAAAAGAGAAGGCGAAACTCTCTCTATATGTAGACAACATGGTAATAATGAAATCCCAAAGACACCACAAAAAAAATCCTGGGAGCAACCGATTTGTATAGTAAAATCAACAGAAATCCATGGCTTTCCTATAGGCAAGCAATGCAATAGGAGAAAGAAAGAAATTTAAATCAATGCCATTCACTTTAGTGCTCAGAAAGACAAAAACTGGCAATCAGCTTCACAAAGGACGTAAAAGATTTATACAAGAAGACTATAGAACACTACTAAAAGAAATAAAAGAGGCCATAGGAAATGGAAACACATCACCTTTTCACAGAGTAGAAGGATTAGTATCCAAAATGACAGTCTTATTCAAAGCACTCTACAGATTCAAAGCCATCCTTATTTAAAAAAAAAAAGCCAATACAGATTTTAAAGACATAGATCAAACACTCTTAAAATTTATATGAAGGGGTTGGAGAGACAGCATAGCGGGAAGAGCGTTTGCCTTGCACGAGGCCGGCCCGGGTTCGATTCCCAACATCCCATATGGTCCCCTGAGCACTGCCAGGAGTAACTTTCTGAGTGCAGAGTCAGGAGTAACCCCTGTGCATCACCAGGTGTGACCCAAAAAGCAAAAAAAAAAAAAAAATTTTATATGGAACAACAAACTGCCCCAAATAGCCAAAGCAATCCAGGGGGAAATGAAGATGAGACGCTTCTCTCTCCGAAAATTCAAACTATACCATAAAGTTGTAGTCATCAAACAGTGTGGTACTGGAATCTGGTTAGAATCTCAGACTAATGGAAGAGATTTGAATGTCCAGAGACAGACCCCAGGTATATGGAGAATTAATCATTGAGAAAGGACCAAAAAATATAAAGCGGAACCAGGAAAGCCTCTTCCACAAAGGGTGCTGGGAAAAATGGTCAGTCACATGCCACGAAGGAAGCCAGATCCTTTTCTAACACTACGCATAAAAACCAAATCAAAATAAATTGAAGACCTTGATACTAGATCTGAATTTATGAACTGCAGTGACAAAAATATAGGTAGAATAATTCATGACTTTGAAGTTTTGAAGAGATATCTTCAAAGATTTGAAATCATTGGTCAAGCAAATGGAAGCAAAGGTAAACAGGACTATGTCAACCTAAGAAATTTCCACACCCCAAAGGAAATCATGGCCAGAATAGAAGGACACCCAAAGGCTTGGAAAGGGTATTTGCCCACTACTCATTTGATAAAGGGATGATGCCCAAGAGATATAAAGCACCAGAAGAACGTTACTCTGAAAATCAAATTAAATTTTAAAAAACTACCCTATTATAAAATGGGGGTCAGGGCTGGAACAATAATATAGCAGGCAGGGTGCTTCCCTGGCATGCAACCAGCCCAGGTTCAATCCCCAGCACCACATATGGTCCCTCAAGCCCTACAGGAGTGATCCCTGAGCACTGCCAGGTGTGACCCCAAAATAAACCCCCCACAAAAAAAGAAAGGTGGGGTGTGGGATGAACAGAAACCTGATTAAAGAAGACATACAGATGCACAAAAAAGTCTATGCTCTTTATCTCTTTCTCTTTTTTTTTTTTTTGAAGTAAGACAGATTTTATTTGGAGGCCTTTTTGAAGGTGTGAAGGGAAAGTGAGTAAGGGTGGGCGGGAGGAGAGAGGGAAAGAAAGAGAGAAACTCGTTCAAGAGAGAACGGGGGCTTCTCCAAGGGCAAGAGAGAGCCTGCTCTTTATCACTTATCATCAGGGAAACACAAACCAAATCACCTGAAAGATATCACCTCAATCCAGTGAGACTGGCACACACCACAAAGAACAAAAACATCCCGTGTTGACGTGGACGTGGGGAAGAGGACATTCAGGCACTGCTGGTGGGAATGTCCACTTGCCCGGCCTTTTGGGAAAACACTTCTCAAGAATACTGGGAATGGAGCTTCCGTCTGACCCAGCCACGATTTCTAGGCCACTATCCCAAGGGCTCTGGTCTCATTTAAAACAAGACGTCGGAGCTCCCGCGTTAAGAACAGATGGCCGGGTAGGAAACAAGGGGACACATACGCAATGGAAGGATAAATGAAATCATGAAGTTTGTGGCTACATGGATGAGGCTGGAGAGGGTCAAGCTGAGTGAAGTTAGCCAGGATGTGGGAGAGACACAGAATGACCCTATGACAATAAAGCAAACCAGGCTCTTTGGCCGAGGGGTCAGAGTGGAATGCTCAGGGACAAATGAACTAATTTTTGACAAAGGAGGAAAGTCCACGAAGTGAAGTAAAGACAGTTTCTTGAACAAACGGTGGTGAGAAAATTGGATGACCAGTGTAAAAAAATGAAGACGGGGCCCAGGAGATAGGACAGCAGGGAAGGCACTTGGCTGGCACGTGGCTGACTCGTGTCCACCCCCAGCACCACATGACCATCCCCCAAACCCACCAAGAATGATCCCTGGGCACAGAACCAGGAGTAATCTTGGAGTACTGCTGGGTGTGGCCGAAAAACAAAAAGAAATTTTTTTAAATGAAATGATATCCACATCTCACCTTACATAAATGTCAATTCAAAGTGGGCCAAAGATCTTGAAGTCAGACTAGAATCTATCAAGTACATTAAAAAAAAAAAAAACTTCAGCAAAACGCACAACATTTGATTCCACTGCGCAAAGGTCACAGAAACAAAAATAAACACACGCGACTACATCAAATGAAAGAGTTTCTGCAGAGCAAAAGCCACACGAGCTGAAACTAAAAGACGCCTACTGAACGGGGAAGAGAATTTAGCATCCAAGATACATGAAGAACCCGCAAAGATCAACAACCACACAAAAACTAAAATCCCCATCAAAATGGAGCAGGAGATGAACGGGCACTTCCCTGTACAAGACAGGTGAATGGCCAATAGGCATGCAACCACTTGTCGTCAAATGAAGATGCCAATGAGCTATTACTTCACGTGAGTAAAAATGGCACATGGAGGGAAAATACTAAAAAACCCTGAAACCTGGGAACAATCCGTGTCGACAAGGTTGTGGAGAAAAAGAAACTCTCCTCCGTCGCTGGCACAAATGCCGCCTGGCTCCACCCCTGCAGGACAGTGTGGAGATTCCTCAGAAAAAACAAGGGCTGCCACATGACGCAGAAACTCCACCGGAACCAAACGCCCAGAACCCAAAACCCGTCGTCCAGAAGGACACTGAAGCACTGTCGCACTGTCCTCTCGTTGTTCATCAACTTGCTCGAGCGGGCACCAGTAACATCTGCATTGTGAGACTTGTTGTTACTGTGTTTGGCGTATCGGATACGCCACGGGGAGCTTGCCAGGCTCTGCCGTGCGGGCGGGATACTCTTGGTAGCTTGCCGGGCTCTCCGAGAGGGACGGAGGAATCGAACTCAGGTTGACTGTATGCAAGGCAAATGCCTTACCCACTGTGCTATCGCTCCAGCCCCCAGAAAGACACACGCACCGTTATCAGTCGCAGCACTTAGGGTAAACAGCCAGGACACGGGATCCACCCGGAGCCTGTGAGAAATGGCTTGAGGAACAGACGGCTATTTGCACACAAGACATGCGTGCGGCTGCAGGAAGGGGACACGCCGCGAGTTGTGGCCATTTGGGGGGGCTGGAGGAGGGACGGTCAGTGAAGGCCAGATGTCCCCACCCATCTGTGACACACAGAGGAATGAGACACAGTGACGCGAAAGCATCGAAGTGGGGGAGGGGGGTACTTCCCCGCGCAGCTGGGTGCAGTCGGGGTGCGAGCTACAGGAGAGGGCAGGGCGCACGCGGGGGTAGGGAAGTGCAGTGAGTGGGGGCAGCCGAGCCACAGAGCCAGCAGCACCGCACACACCGTTCCAAACACAACAACCTGCTCTGAAACATGCCTGTCAGGGAGCAGCTGGGCGTGGGAGGGTGCCTGGGACACGGGAGAGGGGGCCTGGCACGGGGCAGGGGCTGAGACTGGAGCCCTGTGTGCCAAAAACTCAACTTGGAAGAATTTCGTAACTCACAGTGCCTCGAGAACGTTTGTTTTCTAATACAGCAAGAAGGTGGCCAGATCTTTTGTAAACCACAACACCCAGAAGGAGAGAGAGAACACAGGGAATTGCCCTGCCACAGAGGCAGGGTGGGATGGGGGGGATGGGGGGTGGGAGGGATGCTGGGATCCGTGGTGGTGGAGGATGGGCACTACTGGTGGAGGGATGGGTGTTTGATCATTGTATAATCGAAACCCAAGCACACAAATTTGTAAGTCTACAACTGTACCTCATGATGTCTCACCAATAAATATAAAAATTAAAAAAAAATAAAATAAAGGTGGCCAGAGTTTCGGGAGGGGGCGTGGAGCTGTGTGAGGGAGCAGCGCAGGGCCTTCCTCTTAGCCTGGCTTCCAGAGGTCACCCCAGGGTGTGCTGGCGGGTCCGAGACCCTCCACCTTTGCACAAAGCACCAGCTCCAGCTCGCCGAGCCCTCAAAGGCAGCAGAAGCTTCAGGAGGGCTTGAAACCCCACAACTTGACACTGGTCTTCTTGATGTGCTGCTCTCTGTACGGGCCTTTCTCTTCCGCACTGTGTGAGTGAACAGGAAGGACCCTTCCTAGGAGAAGCTTCACCACCAGGCGTGCGGCTCTCACGGAGCTTCAACAGCAGAGAGGTCAGAGTGCTCTGCCCTCACTCATCACTGTCAGCCCAGCTCCAGGTTGCCATAGGAACGGAATAAAAGCATCTGCCAGAAAAAGCCCCTGGGCCACGTCCCAGTCCAGGCCCTGCGCCCCGAGGGGCCGTGCTGTGCACACCCTGCCCTCCACAGCCTTTCCCCACTGGACACTGACCCGAGCCCGCGGCAGTACTGTACCTCTCGGAGGGGCAGGATGACGTTGCAACACCCGTCTTCCTTGCTGGCAAAGCAGATGTAAGTGTCCGACGCGAACAAGCGCCCGGGGGTGTGGCAGCGGCTGAAGGGCGTCCAGAGGGAGCAGTCCACCACCGCGTGCAGTCTCTCCTGGCGGGGCAGCCTGAAGAAGGCCCGGAAGAACTCGTTTTGCGCACGGGCCTCGAGGTCCCTGCAAAGGAGGGAGGGAGAGAGAGTGAGGAAGGGAAACAGCGACCACGACACAGAGACACCCTCGGGCCCGGAGAAACCGCTCACCCAGTACCTGTCGGGTAAGGGGTTAATGATACACAAGGCACCCGGTAAACTGGAGAAGAAAAAACACCCAACTTCATCAGAAAATGGGGAGAGGAAGGGAACAAAAACTCCCTCAAAGAAGAAATCCGAATGGCCAAAAGGCATATGAAAACGTGCTCTTGTAACTAATCACCAGGGAGATGCAGATCAAAACCACAATGAGATACCATCTCACCCCACAGAGACTGGCCCACATCCACAAGAACAAAAGCAACCGGTGCTGGCGCGGATGTGGCGAGAAAGGGACCCTCCTTCACTGCTGGTGGGAATGCCGACTGGTTCAGCCCTTTTGGAAAACAGTATGGACGATTCTCAAAAAATTAGAAATTGAGCTCCCATTTGACCCAGCAATACCACTTCTGGGAAGATACCCTGGGAGCCCCAAAACACACAGCAGAAACACCATCATCTGCACTCCGATGTTCACTGCAGCACTGTTCACCATAGTCAGAATCTGGGAACAGCCCGAGTGCCTGAGAGCAGACGAACGGATAAAGAAACCATGGTACGTCTACACAATGGAATACGATGCAGCCGTTAGGGAAAACGAATCATGACATTTGCCTACAAATGGATGGACGTGGCGGGCATCCTGCTGAGTGGAATGAGTCAGGAGAGGGACAGACATAGAAGGACTGCACTCAGCTGTGGGGTTCAAAAGCAAAACAGTACGAAGCTAATACCCTCGACCAGGGAAAATGGATCAGGAGGACTGGTCAGTGGTTGGGGATTACCACAAGGGTGTGGGGGGTGGAGGGTAGTTAAGATAGAGGAGGGTCCGGTCTGACAATACTGGCTGGAAATGAGCACCCTGGACAAGAGCTGGATGTCATCACGATAACCTTTCAGCGTCTGCACTACAAACCACAATGCCCGAAATGGGAGAGAGACAGAGACAGAGAGACAGAGACAGAGACAGAGGAGAGTTTCCTGCCCTAGAGGCAGGCGGTGGCAGAGGGAACCTGGGGACGCAGGTGCTGGGAAGTGATCCCGCTGGAGGGTGGATGTGGGAGCACTGTAGGGCTGACCCCCAGTCATGCCGGCTCTATAGCAATCAATAACTAACTGGGGATTGCGGCAGGACTCAGGGCCCGGGGCTGCTGGTGCTGTCCACTGGCTGCTGGCTGTCTGCTCCCAGCACAGTGCTCAGGACCCTGGGTACGAGGCTCAACCCTTCCAAACCCCAGCGGCGCCTGCACATCCCTTTAATGGCCCACTCTGAGCGCACACAGTGGGGCAGGGCTGCAGTTCAGCGGGCTTCAGGGCCAGCTGGGGCATCCAGGGTCTGCATGACCCAGCCAAGGCCCGCAAATTCTGCACAGCGGGTGGGGTGGCCAGGGCGGGATTGAGCAGGACATTTCCAATCAGGGACTCGGGCCCCAGTGGGGACGGAACCAGCAAGTGCTCCGGGAGCAGTGAGGGAGGCAGCCAGATCCTGTGTCCTTGAGAGGACTGTGGGCCTCGGCCCCTGTGGAAGATTCTAGACTGAATTCAGGCTCAGCTCCCGCACGGGGCGTGCTGTCCTGCCCCTCGGCGAGCCCAGAACTGCGAGTTTGTGCTCCCAGACTGGGCAAGGGTCCGTCGGGACAGGACCACACCCCTCGCCCTAGCAGCCTGCCCCCAGCCCAGCCTCGCTGCCCCCCTGCAGCCAGAGGCCAGCACGGCCCGGTGCAGCCTCAGGATGCAGCCCCTGGATGCAGCTCAGAAAGAAGAACAACAGGAAGAAGCAGGTTTTCAGCCGCCCCTAGGTAGGGGCCGCCCAGCCCAGACCCTTCCCAGAAGCTCGGAGAAGATGCAGGCAGAGCAGGGAGCCCAGCCTACCCACAAGGCCTCCCCGAAACTTCCTCTGGGTCCCCCAAGAGCAGGAGAAGCGGCTGGCATGAAGGCGGCACCTAGTGCTGGAGCCCAGGGCTGGAGTGGTCCTGCGGGGTCGCACCTCCCTGCCCGGTGACCTGCCCTGCTTCTGAAGACCAGGGCAAGGAGGGGTGGCACTGAGCCGACAGGACCCCGTGGCTGAGAACCCAAAGCCCCCCCGCCTCTCCCGCCTTTCCCGAGCCCTAGGGCTGGTGCCCCAGCTGGTGCTGGCTGCGGGGGGGGCGGGGCACGGGGTGGGGGAGACGCAGGTGGGGGGCACGGCAGGGCCCTGTCCTGCCCACAGCAGTAGCATCATTGCTCCCAGCTGGGGACACTTCTCACTCCACTTCACAATGGGCATTTCCAGTCTGGGAATCGAAGGGCCAGTCCTGGGAAACCCCGTCCCACCCACCCCCGTCCCAAGGCCTCCGGGAAGCTCCTCCTGGTCTCTTGGGGCTCCCCAGGGTCCCCGGGCTGAGCCCACCCCCCTCCTGGTTCTCTCGGCCCCTCTCAGCAGAGAAGGAAAGTGGGATTCTGGGGGCGCCCGGGACCCTCCAGCCCCTGTGCCCTTGGCACGATGCTGCCCTCTGGACCTGAAGGCAGGGCTCCCAGGCTCCCAGGCTCCCTGGGGGCGGCACTCCGGGTCACCGCCTGTCTGTGTGCAGAAGTGTCTATGGCAAGGAGGTCACGGCAGTCACACCACCCCTCCCTACCACACACTGACCCTGGGAGCAGAGAGGATACAGGAGGAAGCTGCTCCCGGGGCTGAGCCTTGCGCAGACGCCCGCGGGTGACCTGGGGAGGGAGACTCCCGGGCCGGCAGGTGCCTCCCACAGGGTTGAGCCCACCGGGAGTGACCCCGGAGTGCAGGGCCAGCAGGAGGCCTGAGCATAACTGGGGGTGGTCTCACAGCGAGATGAAAGAGAAGCAGGAAAGAGTCTCCCTTGGCTCTGAGTCTCATCTGCTCCAGACAGGGCCCTACAGGGCCACCAGGAGCCAAGGCCAGCAGGGGCTCCCCAGGGTCCCCGGGCTGGGTCAAGGGCCAGCACCCCAGAGGCCCCTCTCAGAGAGGGATACGTCACCCCACCCTAGAGTTCCCTCTCAGAAGGGGACACATCTCCCTACCCCAGAGTCCCCTCTCGGGGTGGGGGGACACATCGCCCCATCCCAGCCCACGACTGTCAGAGAACATGAAAGCTGAATGGAATCTGTTTCCAAGGGAAAGGGCAGCGATCCTTCTCTTACCCTTCCCTTACTCGTGATACGTCCAATCGGTTTTAAAAAACACACAACACGGCGGGGGGGGGCCTCCAGATTCCTTCCGAGTACACAGAAACTCCCGGTCAGAAAGAAACAACTTCCTCCAGGAGCTCAGAGAACACCTCGCGTTTGATGTTACAATGGGCCGGACCGTGCCCAGTCTAACCAGCAGACCCGCAAGGCCAGAGGGGGCCAGCCGCTCACCCGGGGTGCACACCCTCTCGAGGCCGAGGGCAGAGTCCGGACCCCGCCGGGCATCCCGCCCTGGCCAGGCAGTGCCCATCCATCCATCCTTCAGCCTGGTCCAGGAAGCCGAGGGAAGGGGCCAGCCTGGGCGCCGGGAAGGAGGGCGGCGGGGGCTTCCGACTGGGGTCACGCAGAGGGGTCCCAGGAACCTCGCCGAGCTGAGCGCCCGAGAAAGGCTGGAACGGGAAATGACGAGCCAGGTGTGGTGTCCGCTGTGCCACCGTAAGACGGCGCTAGTGAAGGGCCGTCTCCCGCAGCCAATGAGTCAGGGACCCCCTCAGAGGGGCGCCCTGTGTGCTCCGCAGTGCCCAGTGTGGGCAAAGCCAGAGGTCAGCCAGGTTCAAGCACCTACCTGGAATTTATTTACGTGTTTTCACGACTTTTTCATTTGCTCCGTGAACACTCCTGACGCTGCTAGTGCTGGCTCAGTCCCGGGCCAAGCGGCCTGCAGGATCTCGCTAGCCCAGCCCAGCGGGTTCTCAATAATGAAGTCAACTCGGAAATAAATGAGCTGAAGTGACAAATAATCCAGCAACCGGCTCAGCAGGGGAGTCAACTGAGGCCAGAGAGCAACGGCTCTTTGGAAGAACAAGAGCAATCACTACTAGGAAGGCATAATTCTAATTTAATAGGTAAAGGTAAAGGTAAAGGCCCTCCCGTTGATCGTCGATTTGCTTGAGCGGGCCCAGTAACGTCTCCATTGGAGACTTTGTTGTCACTGTGTCTGGCATATCGAATACTCTCGGTCGCTTGCCGGGCTCTCCGAGAGGGGCGGAGGAATCGAACTCGGGTCGGCCATGTTGGCCGCTTGTAAGGCGAACGCCCTACCCGCTGTGCTATCATTCGATATGCCAAACACAGTAACAACAAAGTCTCCAATGGAGACATTACTGGGCCTTCTCGAGCAAATTTAATAGGAAACTACAATATTCACTGATAATAACGAATATTCCTTTTCCTCTGCCCCCGCGTGCAGGCCAAGTCTCTAAGGCACAGCGCTGAGTTGGGTCGTGGTGGTGCCCCCGGCAGGTTCAGGAATGTCAGGTTTGGAAGTGACCTTGGCACTCGCCCCAGAGGTCGAGTCTGCTGCGTAAAGGGAACGAGGAACAGGCCCCCCTCAGCTCGGGGTGTCTCTGACAGGGCAGATGGTCTCTCCCGAGGCTGGCCAGCCTGGCTGGAAGCACTGACCTCTTGGTGATCTGGCTGGGGTCCTGCAGGTGGGGGTCCAGCTCGAAGCTCTCGTTGTCCAAGAGCCTCCGGAGTGTCACGTCTGCCAGCTGCTCCATGACCCCGAAGGCCGCCTCGAGGCTCAGGAACATGGAGAAATCACGCTCCTTGCCCCGGGCGGTGACGCGGATGGTGTCGGTCAGAAAGACGTTGGACGTCCTCTCCAGCTTCTGGACGTCCACCCAGGGGACCACAAGCTTCACTGCGAGAAAAAGCGGCCGGGGCGCACGTCACCCTCCGGTCTGAGACAGATTGCGAGTCCCCGCATCGGCACCCTGACCCTGACACGGAAACGCAGGGGCCCCAGACCAGAGCGGGAACGGCAAGGGTGGCGTGGGGCGAGGCCGACTCAGGCTCTGGCCACGCGTCTTCAGAGACTTAAGAATAGCTTTCTCTCACACACACACACACACAGTCACACACACAGTCACACACACAGTCACACACACACTCACACACACATACACACACACAGTCACACACACTCACATTCTCACACACACACATACACACACAGTCACACACACACTCACACATACACTCACACACACATACACACACACAGTCACACACACACTCACACATACACTCACACACACAGTCACACACACACTCACACATACACTCACACACACATACACACACACAGTCACACACACTCACACATACACTCACACACATACACACACATACACACACACAGTCATACACACACTCACATTCTCACACACACACACATACACACACACATACACACACAGTCACGCACACACTCACATTCTCACACACACTCACACATACACTCACACACACTCACACACACTCACACACACATATACACACACACACACGAGACACATTCCTCTCAAGTACCGAGTTAACAATATGAAAATTTTCTAAAGACTGTTTAAACTTGAAATACTTGCAAAATATGCAAATGTTTCTTGGACCACATAAATACTCGTTTCAGAAGCAGCGTTTATGGCCTAAGCGATGGGAGGGACGAGTGTGAAGCAGAGACAAGGGCTTGGCCTTCCAACTTCGGAATGACAGCTGTCAGGACACAAACAGTTTCTATGGGCCTTTCTAAACTAAAAGTACAGACAGTTGATTTTTATTTAATTCTTAAATAAAAGACATTTACTTCAGAATTCTTACTTAAGAATTCCATTCCCAGACACGTTTCACTAGGCGTGGTTGCTAAGACATGGCGAATTCAGGAAAGACTGCATACTTACCAGCCGAAAGTGACAAGTGTCGTGGAATACCAGAGCCACTTTATTTCTCTCAAGTTTTGGCATCCAGAAACCTTAGGTTTAGTGAGAGTAACTATTAAATGTCAGAAAATAGCATGTTTTCTCCTGCAAATAGTGGAGGGAATAACTGAGTGGCTTCGCTTCTGTTTGTTTTGCAATCATGTCTCCGTGTCCTGATCATTTTAGGTCAGATTTCAACAGGAGGCTTGAGTGTGGTGTCCCCAGATACTTCCGACTGCTTGCGTTAGTCCCCCCCCTTTCTCTCTCTCTCTTTCTTTCTTTCTCTCTCTCTCTCCCTCTCTCTCTCTCTCTCTCACACACACACACACACACTTTATTGAAACCATCAAATTCACTCATAAGGCTTCTATTTTGCGACGAGCTTGTGCAAATAGTGAACGCAGACGCATAAGCCTAGAAGCAACTTCTGACTCGATGGGCCTCAAAACAGAGACACAGAAATGTATGGACTGTCAGGGGGACCAGGGACGGTTCCTAAAGGGGACAGCCCAAGTAAAGTTAGAAGCACAGAGGGGTATTTGCCAGCCCTGGTCCGTAACCAAGGTCTTGGGCACTCACACACACACACACACACACACACACACACACACACACACACACACACACACGCCGTGTGCTCTGTCACCAGGCCACCTCCCAGTCCCGAGCGGCATTTCCCGGCAGAATCAGGAACGGAAAAGAGGAGAAAGGAGCCGGCCACTCCTGTGCGGAAGGCGGGACTCGCCCAGACAGAGGCCGGCGGAGGCCAGGTGCACCGGGACCCGGGACGCCCAGGGCGCCTTACCCGGGAGAGGCTCCTGCTGGCCACTGGGGGTGGGAGGTGTATGAGGGGAGAAAGACAGACCCTACGGCGAGCCGTGACTGTGCCACCTCGGGGCCTGTGGACGGCCGTTCTGGGAGGCGTCTCCTGGGAACAGGAGTTGCCGTTCCTGCTCTAGGCGCTCCAGCCGGGTTCGACGGGTCACGCAGCTCCATCGCCGCGCCACGGGGCCCCGGCACAGAGCTCGCCAGGAAAGGGGGTCCCATGGACGTGGTCTCCTGGGCCTGCCGTTCTCGGGCCGGCGGGGCGAGCAAGGGAGGCTGCCGCGGGACCCCGGAGGAGGTGCGGAGGGGAGGGGCCTGGGAAGCAGCACCTGGCTCCCCCAAAGCGCCCGTCTGGGACCGCACCCTGCTTCAGAGCAGCCAAGCGAGAGTCAAGAGGCCCCAGCAGCGGCACGGAGCGCATGGCCCCAGACGGCCGCTTCTCAGGCCAAGCCACTTCTCACCAAGCGGCCGTCCACGGCAACAGGTGCCAGGAGAGGCCACTCGTGCCGTGAAAACGCGCCCTGCCACCCCGCGACAGGCGCCCGGGCCACTTACGCTCCTTGCCCAGGAAGCAGGAGTAGAAGCACAGGTGGTGGGCGCTGAGGTAGAGCCAGCCCTGGCGGGGCACGCGGCCCTTCCAGCAGCAGCACGAGTAGTAGGTGACCAGCCGCTCCGCGTCCGGGAAGCCGAACCGGGCCTCGAACTTCACCAGGGCCTCCCGGAACTTCTCGGGCTCCTCCTCCTGCTCCGCCAGCCTGCTGCGGGCCTCCTCCATGAGCAGAGCCTGCGGACAGCGCCCCGTGTGAGCGGGGCCGGGGACAGGACAGCGCCGGGCACACAGACAGCGGGCGCCCAGCGTGAGGAGGCTGGGGTCAGGACAGCACCGGGTGCCCCACGTGAGGAGGCCGGGGCGGGGAGGGGACAGGACAGCGTCAGGCACATGGACAGTGGGACCCGGGTGAGGAGGCCACAGGGGGTGGGGGGGACGGGAAGGAGAGGAAGTCTGTGCCACCCTGCGCCATGCCCACGGGCTGCAGCCTCTTGCCCATCACCCGTGTGATGCAGGCTGGGTTCTAGCCTCGCTCTCAAACTCCTGTTTCACTGCTGCTCTGCCTTGTGGTCCGCTGGTCCTCGGGGCCAGCCCTGGGCTGTGGGGGGCTCGCGCTAGCAGGTGCAGGAACGGCACCCGTGAGTGAGCTCCGCGCCCCCCACAGACGCCCCTGCCCAAGGCCTTCCTACCCTTCCCCGCAGGACGGGGACTCGGCCACTGGTAAACGGCCTGGAAAGAGTCGAAGGACTACCGGAACTGAGTCAGAGTCAAGTTTAATATCACTAGTATTTTTCATCATTATTTTGGTCCAAGATCATGCCTGGTGGTGCTCAGGGCTTCCCCTGGCATGGACTGAACAAGGTCTGCCGCACGCAAGCGGCCCCTGTGCTAGCTCCCCTGCCTCCAAGTCAGCCTTGAAGGTAAACTAAGGGCAGACAGCGTTAGTTTCTCTTTCAGAGAAACGGCAACAAGAACAACTACAAACATGAGTTTTTCCTGGCGAAGTTCAACCTGGGGGCTCAGCTAACACCTGCCAGGGCCAGGGGCAGAGCAGAGATCGCTCCCACCTTGCCAGGTCTTCCCAGGCTCACCGAGCACCAGGCAGGCCGGCAGGGGGAGAAGGAACTTCCCGCGTCCCTCGGAGAATCTAAAACGATGCGACTTAGGAAAACACATGAGGCAGGATACGGGCACGGGATCCGAGCCCAGGCATGGGAGACGGCACCGGGACAGTGCTGGGACGCGAGTGACTGGCAGGAGTGACTACTGGACAGCCCTGTCTCACAGCTCGCGTGACCTGGCACAAGGCCGGCTCGGCCAGCAGAGGGCCACCGCTGCTGAGAACCTTCGTTCTCGGTGAGATGCACCCACCACTTTTGCTCTTTACTTGTTCGGTTTGATAGGGGGGCTTGTGGGGAGGGGATGGACACCAGGGGATACTCAGAGCTACTCCTGGGCACTCTGGGGCCGTCCCGCTCACCGGACTCAGTCCAGACTACGAGACAGGCCTGGGGCCCAGGGGACACAGCGCCTCCATGCAGCCCAGAACCAGCCCACCGCCAGACCATGGTCTGCTAGGACCAAGGAAAGGGGGGGTGCGTGCGCGCGCACGTGTGTGTGTGTGTGTGTGTGCGCGCGCACATGTTTGCGTGTGCGCCTGAGTGTATGTGTATGTGCGTGCGTATGTATGTGTGTGTGCATGTGATTGTGTGTGCGTGTGTGTATGTGCGTGTGTGTGTGCGTGCCTGTGTGCACGTGTACGTGATATGAGAACATGACGCAGGGTTCAGGAAGCCGTAGAGACAGGAGGGGGCCTGAGAGCGAGTGCAGGGGTCATGCACACGGCCAACCTGGGTCACTCCCCTCGACCACATACAGACCCCACGCCCCCGCCCCCCCAGGAGTGATCCCTGAGCACTACCGGGCATGACCCCAAACCAGCCCTCAAAAAAAAAAAAAAAACCCAAAGAGGAAACCACAAAGAAACACTCAAGCCAGGACCTACCTTCACCTTCCCCTTGACGAAGCTGGCGATGTCGTCTTTATTGTCAAAGACAGACAAGGTGTGCACGAGGTTCTGCTCCAGCCAGTCCCAGTGCTGGTTTATTTCCTCTAACGTGGCACCTGGGTTGGACAACGCACACACAGGGACGGAAATAAGGGGCTGCCGGAGCGGGAAGGGCTCTGCCGACCCGGAGACCTGAGGCCGCCTGCACGAGGCATGGGGCTGCTCGCTGTGTGGGCCAGAGGCTCCCACCGCCACGCAGGGGGCAGGGGCAGAGGGCGGCGCCTCTCCTTCGGCCCAGACCACGGGTCAGGGCAAAGCCCCCGCAGGAGCTCTGCCCGAGGCCCAGGGCACTGCCTCTGGTGACCACGGCGGCTTAGGAAATGTCCAGTCGCCGTGCAGATCTGAAACTTCCTGTCGTAGGAAGACTGTCCCTTAAGACACAATGTTGGCTGGCGAGAAAGCACAGAGGTGGCACTGTGCTGTGGGAGGTCCCAGGACACACACACCCAGAAATAATGTAGCTGTGCTAAAACCAAAACACACTAAATGGTACATAGTAACGCAATTTCTTTGGAAGCCAACTAAAATAGAACCATTATTACTGAAGTGTTAGCAACACCGGTTGCCAAATCTGAATGATCTTAGCCGCAGTTTCCTCTCAAGGGGCCTCCTGTCCTCTCCCTCACCCAGTGGGCACTTCACAGGGGCCTTCCGGCACCCCTAAAATATCCACATACACACAGATCCTCGATAAAGTCTGAGGCTTGAAGCTAGCAGGCCCAGGACAAGACTGGGCTGTGTGTGGGGCTGGAGAGACAGCACAGCGGGGGGCCCGGGGGGGGGCGTTTGCCTGGCATGCAGCTGACCCAGATTCGATTCCCGGCATCCCATCTGGTCCCCCGAGCACCACCAGGAGTCATTCCTGAGTGCAAAGCCAGGAGGAACCTCTGAGCATCGAAACCACAAAGAAAAAAAAAAAAAAAGACAGAACACGTGTGGATCCAGGATGTCTGACATGGAGGAAGAGCAGGTCCGGCTCCGAGCAGCGGGTTTCCGGAGGGGAAGGAGCGGTCCTGGCATCAGAGCGGGAGGCAACTGCCTGGCCCTGCCAGAGGCCCCACATCAGGCCTAGCTCACAGCATGCACGCGGGGATGGAAGCGCCACTTGGGGGCTTCCCGGGCGCTGAGTGCAGTTTCCCGCCTGCAGAGGAACGCGGGGAGGGCGCTGCCTCACGTCCTATGGAAGGGCCAGCACCTGCAGCTCGGACCCACGCCTCGGGGCTCGGAGTCCGACGAGCATCTGTGTGCGGACCGAGGCTCCGAGAGGCCCAGTGCGAAGTACGCAGACACCCCTAAGGGCGGTGAGAGCCACCGAGTGGAAGGCCTGATGGCTGGGCCGGGCCGGCTGAACCCCGGCTCTCTCAGCACAGGCGCTGACCGGTGTCTCTGTCGGGCGGCTCCGGGCCTTGCACGCGCTGGTGTCTGCAGGAACCGACACTCGTCTCGCAGCTCTGGCTCCGAGGTGAGGGTGCGGCCCCCGCCACGGGCAGAGGCCCCCGCTCGCCCTGCTGCTCTGCTCTGCTCCCCCACACGGCTCAGACCTCGGCTGCCGCCCCCACCACGTAACTGCAGAGCCTGCTTCTCTCCAGTCCCCGAACTGGTTCATAGCCATTTGTTTAAAGCTTCACATCACGGACACACCCACCCGTTGGAAAACCGTAAACAAGCCAACAGAAAGAAGCACCCAGCACAGGGTCTGTGAGGGTGACCTGGAGAGCTACAATAAACCCGGTTATCCCCAAAGCCCCCCTATCCCGCAAGCACCCTAGGGATGGGCAAAGGGCTGGGAGCCGCTTTCACACAATGACCGGCCCCCAGAGGCAGGGGAGCCGATGAACCTCCCAATCACGTCCTGCTCCTTCAGGGTCCCTGGCCCACTGGTGGCTCAGGGGAAGTTCTGGGTGGGCGGTCCTGGTTCCCTAATGTTTCCCACCTTGAGGAGGCCTCCGGCCGTGAAACACGGGCCCTTCAGGCTCTGCTCTCACGATCTCGGGAGAAGCAAAGACGGTTCTGAGACCCACCAACCCAAGTGACTAGGGTTCTCCCGAGCCATCTCCCAGTGACACCTGCCTGCCCCCAGCACGACCTAGCACCGACCCTGCTGGGGCCCCTGATGTCCAGGGCCAATGTGACCGGAGGCTCATCTGCTCCACTGCCTCTGGCTGACACGTCCCGGCCTATTCTGGGCACTCAGAGGCCGCTCGGCAGGAATAAGACAGAGCCCCAGGCCTGGAGGTTAAGCAGTGGTGTCTTGGCTGTGGACAGATAACCCACCCACCAACAATCATTCAGGAAAGAATCCTGGGGTTCTTGTGGGAGGCTGGGGGAGAGAGAGAGTGAGAGAGAGAGAGAGAGAGAGAGAGAGAGAGAGAGAGAGAGAGAGAGAGAGAGAACTGTCTAGGTTTTGTTTTTAAGCAAGAAATAAATACAAAAGGGTCATCTCTATTGGCCTTCAAACTTTTGCTCTATGTTTTTCGTAATTTCTAATCTAGGGGGAAGAGTGAGAGAGGAAAGTGCTACTGCTGGCCCCATGTAATCTCATCCACGACCAGGATCCAGACGTTCGGTAAGAATCTCTCGGAAGAGAGCACGGAGCCTTTTCTGTCTCATTTTTAATGGATTTTTCCCAACAAAATAAATGATTTCTATTCTGTTCGGGGGGCAGGGTTCGGGATCTGGGATGGAACCATGGTGGTGGGAAGGTGTAATGGGGGTGGGCCTAGTGTTCCAGTATGAAATGTAATCGAATACTGTGAACTCCTCTATAAAGATCAAAAATACAACGCGTGGGGGCCATGGGAGAAGGCTTGCCTACACGCTCCGATGCTCCTGGCACCGGGGCTGGGAGAGGAAGGAGCCAGCGCCCAGGCAGATGCGCAGGGCATGGCAGGCGAGCGGAACTGTGTGGTCCCGCACTGCCACGGCACCTGCAGAGCCCTCCTCCACCCCTCCCCGTGCCAGCCTGCAAGGGCTCCTTCACACGGCGAGAGCCCGGTACCCGCGATGGCCTCTGCCCGTTTTCGGGTGACCCCCCAGGCTGCCTGCTGCACTGCTGTCAAGCTCCAGGCCACGCACGGAGCCTGAGCCTCTTTCCTGCTGTCATCCCGGCGGGGACCCAAGACACTGGGACGAGTTCAGAAGCAACCCCATTGTGTGGGGTTCAGGTCTGAGAGCAAATCACCAAGTACAGACTTTCGGTCTTCAAAAGGGCACTCTCCTCCTGGGGAGATGCTGTAACAGGGAAAGGGAATTCAGACGGAGCTCACGCTGCGAAAGGAGCAGACACACGTACAAACCAGGCCGGCCCAGCACTCGCCGCATCCCGGCCGCCAGCCCCGAGAGGAGCCCGTCCGCGGCCACTCCCTGCAGACAATCAACCGCATGAAACTTTCCACTGACTGTTTCCTACAGAAGCTGCCAAGTGGCAGGGGGATTTTCCAAACTATCATTTCCTCTGCGGGAAAGCCTTGCAAACGGTTTCACAAACACGTAAACCAGCGCAAGCCCACGGCACGTCTGTGATCTCCAAGGGCTGAGAAAGGAAAGTCACTCGCCAAACAGCACGCTACACCAAAACTCTAAGTGGGCCTGCTTGGGGCTCCTGAGCCACCCAAGAGAAAGTAGCTCTCTTGGAAAACAGAAACAGAGCAGGAAGCAGAGCCACACTGCAAGGGCACTTGGGGATAAGACATTTGTTCAACTCGGGTGCAGAACCAGAGGGCTGGAGCAGCACTGCAGAGGCTGATGGCCCAACACTGCAGCTTGACAGGAGAGGAAGCACAGAGAGGAAAATGGGTGGGAACTGGTCTCCAGGTAATCTCTGAGCACTGCAGAAAGAGCAATGCGGTGTCTCCCAGCACCGAGACAGAGGGGGCCTGGTTTGCATCCACCCAAACCCGTCTGATGACTGCCAATCCCAGACCAGCCACACTGGGAGGCAGGACTTCAGGGGAGGTGACTGGTGGAATAAAACCTCCGGCGGGGGCCCAGCCCACTGAGGTGCCCTCTGAGACCGCTGGACACACTGCATGGGGGAGACTGCCCCTCACGAGGGGCCTCAGGAGAAACAAGCCCTGTCCAGGACTTCTGTTGGTTCTCTGGAGGAAGGGCTGATTGGAGCCAGCCCTGCTGGTGCGCAGACCCAGGCTCTGAACTCAGGGATGGTTCCTGGCAGTGCCCAGAAGCCCGTATGTGGTGCCAGCCGCGCACGAGGCAAACTCCCGAGCTCCCTCTCCAGCCCCCAAGTGGGCTTCTGCTACCTGAATGTTTCTCAACTGGGAGCCATGTGGTAAGTGGTATCTCGTCGGCGGATCTGCATTCCAAGCGCAAAGGCTAGGTGCTGCCTGGTCTCTTCTCCGTTGTCCACAGACGACGGAGATCATCGGTCCTCCCCTTCTCCCTCCGACTGATCTCACTCAACGTGACTCCGTCCAGAGTTGTCCACAGTGCAGCAACCGGCATGCTTTCCTCATTTCTCCTGGCTGCGTAGTATTCCCTGTGTCTCTACATCACAACTTCTTTTTTGGTTTGTTCTTGTTCGGGGGCCACACCCCGTGATGCTCAGCGGTTACTCCTGGCTCTGCGCTTGGGAATTCCTCCTGGTGGCGTTCGAGGAGACATACGGGATGCTGGGGGTGGCACCTGGGTCGACAGAGTGCAAGGCAAATGCCCGCCCCACCGTACTATCGCTCCAACCCCATATCCCATAAATATCTTGATTTATTCATCTGTTGTTGGGTGTTTGGGCGGTTTCCATGTCTTGGCCATTGTACAATAAAAAACGGAGATGCGGGGCTGGAGCGATAGCACAGCGGGTAGGGCGTTTGCCTTGCACGCAGCCAAGATGGCCGATACAGGTTCGATTCCCAGCATCCCATATGGTCCCCCGAGCACCGCCAGGAGTAATTCCTGAGTGCATGAGCCAGGAGTAACCCCTGAGCATCACCGGGTGTGACCCAAAAAAAGCAAAAAAAAAAAAAAAACGGAGATGCTGCAATAAACAGAGATGTGCATTTATCATTTCAAATGAGTGTGTGTGTGTGTGTGTGTGTGTGTG